ATCGGTACATGGGATGACATGTGTATGACGTTATATATAAGATGATTATAAGTTTAAATCTTCTATCTCATATAAGTCTACACAACTCTATGGACATTGTATTTTGATATTTGCTTCCGTTAATCCCTTTATTTTGTTTATCTGTTTCAGAGGCCTTCAATAATCTCAGAATTACTGACCAGTTACGATGTTAAACCTATAGGAACGAGTTTGGGTCGTGACAACATCGGACGTTAAAATCATCATAAAAAGAATAATTTCACTCAAATTGTTCTATTTATATTTTTTGTGGTTGGTTATCTATATGTTAGTGTACTTTTTTGTTTAAAAAATAGTAATACATTAAATTTGCTTTGGACAATTATATATCACCAGATCATTTCAAAACTCTTCACATTCTAGATAGTTCTCACTAATTTTTAAATGTGATAAGTCTTAGACATATACATAATTTTTATTTTGTTATATCCATAAGAGGCGAAATAAATTCAATGAGAAATAACATTTCTTATTTTCGTTTGTTTGACTTAAGAATTTTAAATTATTTGTTGATTTATTGAAAATAAATATGATATAGGATTTACAAAATGTTGGCTTGTTCACACTCCTGAGAATCACTCTACTTTTTATTTAGCAGGACAAATTGCATATAAGTACAAAATATTGTGTGTGTGTTTTATTTATTTATTATTGAAAAAGGGGTAATAATATCACTTTCATGAAACTTAAATTTTTAATTGACACTACGGACAAAAAAATTCTAGAGTCGCCACTGAACTAAGTTTACCTAATTTGAAAAACTAAAAGTTTAAATATCTTATTTTAAAATTAAATTTTAGAACAAAGTCGGAAAAAAAAATATGTTATATTTCTCCACCTTCTTGAAAGTTGGGTTGATATGGAAGATGGAAGATGGAAGATGGAAGATGTTGATATGAATGGTAAGTTTGTAGACTCAATGCTTGTATCAATGCAGGTGTTGTCGTCCCCCACCTTCCACGCGGAGAAGTTATGTTTTATCATATCTACGGAAGATGTAATAATTGGTTTGATATTAAGGATGGTAAAAAAATTCATTACCAAACACTTTTAATTGAGAGAAAGATTTGTTTGGACGGATTAGATAAGGAATGATTGTAATCTTTCAGATTATTAATCCTTAGATTATTTGGTTGAAAATGATATATATCTCATGTTTATTTTCTCATGTAATTAGATGTTTAGAAATAATTATTATATTACATCAAATATTAAAATATTATGAATAAAGGAAAATGCTCAATAAATTATGTTACCATCTTCAATTGTTTACTAAGTAATAGTAATATTAAATCTGTCATTAATATTTTAATTTTAAGGAAAATTTATCCATAAGTCCTAGTTTTTGAAAAGTTGAACCATTTAGTCCTAAAAGTTTTCTTATGCTCCATTTAGTCCTATTTGCACATCAATCTAATGTTCGAAACATTAATATGATGTTCGAAAGCTAATGTTCGAAACATTAATCTGATATTTGAAATCTAATATTCGAAACATTAATCTGATGTTTGAAACATTGTAATGGGACCTTTCAGTCTATAAGAAAACTTTTAGGACTAAACAGTGTATAAGTTATTAATTTGGGATTTATTGGTGCATCCCCTAATTTTTTTTGGTTAGATTAAATGAAATTTTATTTTATTTTTTAAAAATTAAATAAATTTATTTTTTAAAATCAAATAAATTAAATAAATAAAACATTAATAAAACTTAAAATAATTAATGAAAATTAAATAAAATATCAACAAAAATTTATAATAAAAACATCTATAAAAATTTATTAAAAAAATTAAATAAAGAAACATCAACAAAAATTAAATAAATTTATTTTATTTTATTTTTTAATTGAGATTTTTATATTTTATTTTATTTTACTAAATACAATACATTATGAAATCAAATACTTGGAAGGTAAATGTATCATTTTACAATTTAATTTCTATGAGATTCCAATCCCACAATTTCTATTCTGCATTCCCTTTAGAACACAATAATCCAACATATATAACCAAAAAATAAACTTGATGATGGATTGGAGATAGAGTCTAATTTTCCCTTCAATCCTTCTAAACATTCAAAAGGACAGCAATCAAGCGGGGTAGGGAAATGGGTTTGTAGTGCCCTTGTCCTATATTATACAGGGACAGGATAAATCAGGGATTGGAGGGGTAGGGCAAGACTAGGCCGAATTAATATTTTACATATGTAAGAATAGTAGTATTAATAAAAGTACAAAATGATATGGTATATATGAAAGATGATTGATAATAAGTGACGAGAGTTTATAAAATTTAAAAAGATGTGAGATAAGAAATGAAAAAAAAGAAAAAAAAAAGAAAAAGAAAAGAGTTTATATTAAAAAATTGAACAGATATAATCAAGGTGGGAAAAAAATTCCATCTTTGCACTTTCTGATTAAAATGAGGAAAATTCATGCAGGGAGGGACAAGGGTTGCAAGAAAGAATCATGACATCCCTAACTTGAAGCATATGTAGAACTGCAAACGAACTGAATTATTTATGAACAGTTTGGCTTATTTAAACTTAACTCATTTATTAAATGAATGAGTTCAAACTCAATTTTTAAACTAATTTATTAATCGAGTCGAGTTTGAGTAATTTTAAACTCGGCTTGATAAGACTCATGAAAATAAATAAATATTTATTTTTAATAAAATATCAAATCAATTTTTAATAATTTATTTTATTTTTCTATTTGTGTTTGGTGTTTATGTAAATTTATATACGTTGATTGATGAGATTTATTATTAATATAAGCATTATTGTATATTTTACTTATAATTTTATAGGTTTTTTTATTAATAAGTAAATTAATTTAAGTTTTTTTTTTTTTTTTTTTAAGTTGAGTTGAAAATTTTAACTCACGTTTGAATCACCCTCGTGGACATCATTAATTGAAAAATAAAAAAAAAGTATAAAAATATGTATATATATATTTGAGTTTTTTGAATTAAGTTTTTTAAAAATTGAGTTTTTTTAATTTTAGTGAATATTTTTAAAATTTTAAGCATTTTTTTTTTACTTTTTTACATGCACCTTACTTAGATGTATCTAAAAAGTAAAAAAAAAATTGTGAAAAAATATTTTTAAAATTTAATAAATACATAAAAATAAAAAGGGGGGGTTTTAAAATTGAAAAAAGTATTGTACTCTCGGTAAAGTAAAGTAAATTTTGTCCTTTCATTTGAAAACACACTAAACCAACCTTTCCCGAAAATAGAAATTAAAAAAAAAAAAGAAAAAAACGCAATTATAAAGTTTTTGACTTATGTGGTGGTAAGTGCAGTGGCTCATTCCCACAACACCCCCCCTCCCTCTTTCTTTATATGATTATATGATTAGGATTTATTTTTTATTTTTTATTTTTTTAGCAGCATATGATTAGGATACTTAGGAGTGGTTGGCTTTTTTTATTTTTTTGGCTATTTTAGCCTGGGTAAAAAGCTTGGTTTGGGAAGGATTTTTTGACTTTTTGGCTTTTTTGACTTTTTTTGTGAGAGAACAGTGTAATGATTATGGGTTGGATGTGATGTTTTGTTTGTTGTGGCTAAAATAGCCTATTTTGTTTTTTGTGGCTAAAATAGCTAAAAAAGCCTCAAATCTTGCTTCTCAAACGGTGCCTTAATAAGATATTATTTCTGATAATTTAGTATTAGCCTAATATGAGAAATTGGCCCCATAAATTGTTTACACTAAGAAAGTTTTGAATACGAGATCTTGGAGGGAGCACATTCCTAAATCCCAAACTTTGACAAGATATTATTTGTTATAAATAATTACTTAATGATCGTCTTTAAATAAAAACATTAATTATAAGTATATATGTAAATCGAGATATAAAATAATAATAAAAAATCAATAATATATAACATTTCTCTAAATCAATTTCACAACTACTCAAAAATGCAATACCAAAAGCATATCAAGTTTGGTGATTGATACGGGGATTGAAATTTTATAACCAAGTAATCAAACCATGGTCAAATCCAACCACATGTTTTCTAAAAGGAGAGAATGGTGAATGATTGTCCATAATTACTTTATTCTTAAGCCACTATTTTGATTGGATTCTGTTAAGCTCACTGTCTCACTAGCAAACAAGTTGAGGAATGCCCAATTAATGAATGCCATATATGCATGAAATTGATCGCATATTAATGCAAACCCAATAGGCACAATTTCATTGGCCTTTCTAAGAATTGTGAGAATGGTAATGTAACTCATAAGGTAACTAACCAAGTGAAAATTATTAGGTAGTGTTGGTACTTAAGTCGTGCTTCTAGCAAATAAAAAATTACAAAACACAATGAGTCATTCATTATTTCTGAATTACCTGATAAAAGTAAATAAGTATTATCATACCAGTAAAGTTTTATAATATTGATTGAGAGTATCGTATAATTATCATATGATATTTTAGAAGTATCAAATAATTATACTCGTTATAAAGTAGTGTCATCCAAAAATTTTGGTGAATTAAAACTACATACTTAGAATATGTATTCAAATTTTAACTGTAAAAATATTATATAGTCTAAATTCAACTCTTTTATAGTGGGTTCTATAATTAAAATGAAAATCATTATACAAATTAATAAATCTTGTAATAAATATTTTTTACTATCTAATATGTCATACAATAATTAAATTCTATGATTTGAAATATGACTCACTTCAATAATATGATAGATTAATTAAAACAAAATTTGTAAAGTTTTATTAATTTATGTAAAATTACTCACTTAAAAATCAATCTAAACCATTGACTTTTTTAAATAAAATTATGGACAAATATTAGTATGCAAAACAAAAGACTCTGACAACATCAAGGCATAGCCATTGAGTCTTTATCAATGTTATCACATGCAACACTCAACACCTTTGATGGCCAATGCCAAACAAGTCCTTATGAGCTTAATTCACATTTAAATATCCAACCATGACATACCAACATACCTTGGCTATACATTCTTTTCCCTCTCTCTTGTTTTTCACAAAACAAAAAAATGTTCATTGTTTCCAATTCATCTTCTTCTTGAGAGAATATCCACCTAAAAAATTCTTCTTGAGACAATACACAGAAAAAAAACAACAACAGCAAAAACAAAAACAAATATGGCAGGTGGTTCATTTGATGATGAGTGTGATTACCTATTTAAGGCTGTTTTAATCGGAGACTCGGCGGTTGGAAAATCAAATCTTCTCTCCAGGTTTGCCAGAGATGAATTTTATTTGGATTCAAAGCCAACCATCGGAGTCGAATTTGCCTATCGGAACATCAAGGTTGGTGATAAACTCATCAAAGCTCAGATATGGGACACTGCAGGGCAAGAAAGGTATGTTTTTGAATTTTTCTTTTTTAATTGATTGTTGAATTGAACTAGATTGAAATGTATTTTCTTGGTTTTCTTGTTTTGGAATAAGCGAAAAAAGTGCTTACAATTGAGCAGCTCAGGCGAAGAAGTAGATCGGAGCTGCTAGTTAATTTTCTTGATTTTGAGTGTGAATTGTTCAAAAATAAGTTCATCATCTCTCTCTCTCTCTCTCTCTCTCTCTCTCTCTCTCTCAATTCTTGGTTTTTAATCAAGAAGATAAGTATACATGAATTTGAATCTTAAAAAAACAAAAAAATAGAAGGGTTACTCTTAAGGTTAGCCTTTCAAGTAGGATATGTATGCTAATTTGTCATCTCGATGTGAAAACATTGAGACAGATTTGATCATGTATTGGTACGATAATTAGATTACAAAATGAAACATAATCTTTTTACATGGGTGAGATTCACATATTTAATGGCTCTTCATTCACATAAAAAGTTATGTGTCTGATACTGTGATTAGAATTAGTATAGTTAGAATTATTCTATACTTTTAGTATGTATTATTTGATTAAACTTATGTGCTAATGTAAACATGATTTTTTGGGATCAAATCATATTAGGCTTCTAAAGTGAAGAAATAATATTGTCCTTCCAACCATGAAGAGATCTTATGGAGAATTTTCTAGATTAGTGTATATGAATATTTTACAACATTAAATCCCAAAGGATGTTTTTTTTGCAAGGAAGGTCCAATTTTAATCTGTGGTCCAAATCATGCTTGCTGGACCACACCTCATTTTTGTTTTGAACTTCACCATTGAAAGGGTCAACTTTTAGTCTGGCAGTGATTTGCTCTTAATTTGAAATAAGTTTGAAATATAAAAATCGGTTATAAAATTAAGTATTAAATGTATATAAATAAATAGTATATATTTAAAAAAAAACAGGTCTCACCAAAAAATTGTATAAACACTAATATATTATGTAATTTTTTTGGTGTTTGATTTCTGTATTTATAGCAAAACTAATTTTAATTTTTCGTTCTTTCGGTGGGAGCCTATATATTGCTAATTTTATTTCCTTTTCATAGGGTAGGTTTAGCTACAAGTTAATTTGCATACAATGTGTATTTTTCAAACTGAAACCGTGACCCCACAAATTACTTTATTTATTTTATATTTTTTTTTAAGGAAAAAAAAAAAACAAAAGAAAAAATGACTTTTCCTTTTGAGGTGTTAGGATAGGAGTACCATTCAAGTTTAGACAAGATGATGGTGCATACTGCATAAGCAAAGGCATTATTATTAAAATGTCACAATAAATTTTTTTTATCTGCTTTATACTTTGATAGATTGCAAAGAATATTATTCCCAAAAAACACAATATGAAAGCCAGGTGGCAGTCACATAATGTTATGCCATTTGGTCAAGATAATTATAATGATCTTATTCCAAATCACTATCAGTCACATAATCTTGTGCCATTTGGTCAAGATAATTATAGTGATCTTATCCCAAACCGAAAGTTTAAATGAGTAATTTTAGATGTATAAGATATCAGTAGTTTGTAAGTACCTAATTTGTAAGTCATGCTAATGAAAATTTCAAAAATTCTGAGAAAGTGGATTATTTTTATTAAAGTTTTTTGAAAATTATTTTTAGAAACAATTCACTAAATAAGTTTTTGTGTTTTTCAAAAAATAAAAATAAAAAATGAAAATGATACCAAATATACCCTAAACTTTCTTTCCAAATTAGTTTATCAATTATTCAGAAAAACTCTTACAAATATGTGCACCTGCACCCATGCTCTCTATTACAGTTCTATGCATAGGAAACTTCGTGAATGGTCCTACTTCGACTTTAGCAATATGTGCACTTTCATTTTTTATTTTTATTTTTTTTTTAATTCATAACAAAGGGTTACTAATTTGATATTTTAGAGAAAAAAAAATTAGGGCATAAATTGTAATGGGAATATGATTTGAAAATTTATATTCTTTCAAGTGTCACGGGATCAACAATACTATGAATTCAAAAAAATTATCTAGAAAAAATACTCAGAAAAAACACGGTGTAATTGTGATTTATTTTAAGTGTAGGTCCCACTACATAATAATTATATTTAGATCACTCATTACTTTTCAAGATGAAATTCTTGACTAGTTTTGTTGGTTCCTAACTTTATGAGTCACAGGATTCATAACCTAAATTTTAGAAAGCAATGATAAGATTTAATTCTCAAAAGAAAAAGATTTGTATTAATAATAATCTATATCATATGGAGGGAGTCACGGGGTGCGCAGACAGAGTGAGCCGTGAGAAGGTTATTTTTAATCATTCCACATGAAATCATAGTGTTAGTTAACATGGGTTGTGTCTTTAGCTGTAACATTTATATCAACTTTCTCAACCCCAGTATTACACCTAGATCTGTTGGTTCATTTATATCAACTTTCTCAACCCCAGTATTACACCTAGATCTGTTGGTTTGTAAAATAACTTAGGGTTGGTTTGGCAAGGGCTCATTGGGCTTTTTTGGCTCAATGAGCCATAAAAGACAGAATAGGCTCATAAGTCACAACAGACAAAACATCCCATCCAACCCCATAATCATTACACTCTTCTCTCACAAAAAAATCAAAAAAGTCAAAAAGCCAAAAGTCCTTCCCAAACTAAGCTTTTGAGCCCAGGCTTATATAGTTAAAAAAGTCAAAAAGTCAACCCACTTCCTAAACGGAGGCTCAGTATCACATGATTATGTCACAAATTAATCATCAGCTCACCTGAAAAGTAACCTAGTTGGTCAATGATGAGTATGTTCTCCTCATATCCAATTCAGGTTGGACTCTTGCTTACCTCTTTCGTTTGTCCGAATCATGTGATTAGGAAGTATCACTTCATCCCTAAACCCAAAGAATCCCTATCTATGATAGTACGATTTTCAGTTATCCAAAAAATAAAATAATAAAAAAATATTTTAATCTCTGGCTTCCAATTCCCAACATAAAGTGATAAATCCCATCGTTTTCATTAATTACAATGGGATAAATTATAAATATATCTTTGAGATTTTATTAAAATATAAATTGTTCCTATAGTTTTAAAAATTACATTTCACCTCCTGAGGTTTCTAATTTCATAACAAATTGTCCTTTTTATTAATAAATCATTAAGTCAATTAACAGTTTTTAATGATGTTAAAAATGTTTCAATTAATAATTTAGGTAATTTTATTATTGTATAGGAGAATAATTATGAATTTTATTTTTTCAGTTAATTTTGTTAAATAAAAAATTCTAATAAGAGGGTATTTATAATTTTTTAAACCACAAAAAATAATCTATATTTTAAATAAATCTCGAGAGTGTATTTATAATTTACCCATTACAATATATTTGATGTACAACCTGACTGTGCCCGGTTTAAGATGAAATTTCAGTTAGAAATTTTTATGTTTAACTATTTGTTTTAAAAAATATTTGATAGCTGATTTTTTTATTTTTTGTAAAATTCATTTTTCTCTTCCATTATTATAACTAAAGTTCTAGGGATTTATTTAGGGGGAATTACAATTCAGTGAACTTTTGAAAATATATCTACAGGTAAATGAAAGGTTTAAAATTTTATTTGTTAATATTTATAAAGTTTATCACTAATGTGTAACTATTTTTCAAAAATTATATTGAATAGTAGTTTCCACATTTATTTACATGTGTTACTATTAGGGCTTCTAGATAATGAAGGTTTTTTCTTTTAGTTGGGCTTTTGGGTAAGAATTTTTTTTTTATCCGTCATTCATAAGGATAGTTTTTACTAATAGAGGTCTTTAGATAGAGAATTTTTATTTATTTATTATTATTATTATTATATGTAGCTGATTTTTTATTGCTTGATCCCTAAACCCCAAAGAATCCCTATCTATGATACGATTTTCATTTATCCAAAATATAAAAAAATAAAAGTAATAATTTAGTCTCTGTCTTCCCAATCCCAACATAAGGTGATAAATCCTATCGTTTTCATTAATTAGAATATTTGATGTACAACTTGACCGTGCCCGGTTTAAGGTGAAATTTCAGTTAGAAATTTTTATGTTTAACTATTAGTTTTAAAAAATATTTGATAGCTGAATTTTTTTATTTTTTGTAAAATTCATTTTTTCTTCCATTATTATAACTAAAGTTCTAGGGATTTATTTAGGGGGAATTACAATTCAGTGAACTTTTGAAAATATATCTACAGGTAAATGAAAGGTTTAAAATTTTATTTGTTAATATTTATAAAGTTTATCACTAATGTGTAATTATTTTTCAAAATTTATATTGAATAGTAGTTTCCACATTTATTTACATGTGTTACTATTAGGGCTTCTAGATAATGAAGGTTTTTTCTTTTAGTTGGGCTTTTGGGTAAGAATTTTTTTTTTATCCGTCATTCATAAGGATAGTTTTTACTAATAGAGGTCTTTAGATAGAGAATTTTTATTTATTTATTATTATTATTATTATATGTAGCTGATTTTTTAGACGAGGTTTACCCTTTACAATTTGGGAGCATTTGAACGAGGAGATTTTTTTGCCTTATCCTTTGCACAAGATATTTTCTCGAGCATTTGGACAAGATATATTTTTGATACTTCAGACAATGAGATTTTTTCATATTAGATTTTTTGATAAGAAATTTTTTATTGAACGTTTTGGACAAGGAGAATTTGAGACATGTTTCAAAATGGGGGAAGAACCATGGGCTTGTTTGATATAGTTTAATGTAAGTTAAAACTAATAATTAAAAAGTAAAAGTTAAAAAGTTTCTCTCTCCATTTCTAAATAATTAACATATGTTGATTTATTTAAATTATTTCTACCTTAATTGTAAACAAAAATTGTACCAAATAATTTGACACAGGCTCTCACAATGTATTAGGGAATTGCCAAAAGGTTAGCAATGGAAAGTAACCCTTCATTGAATATTACAATGGTTATGTTTTTGGACTTGTTGAAATTCTCTAATTCGAAAAATAAGATCAAATTGACCATATGTTCTTCTATTAAAAAAAGTAGCATACCATGTGTCTTGTAGATCAAACTTACTAAATAATTTTTTCAAAATTCTAAATACACATTATTTCTTATAAGTTAATATCTATTTTTCTTCCATCTCTCTTTCTTGTGTTTCTGCGATACGTGGTGTAACGATGATACTACTAAGATTGTTTTGCTATTTATGTGATCATTAAAATCCCTTCTTTTATTTATTTTATTTTGTGTGTGTGTGTGTTGCAGATTTAGAGCCATAACTAGTTCATACTACCGTGGAGCACTAGGCGCCTTACTAGTCTATGATATAACTCGCAAAGGGACATTTGAGAATTTGAAGAAATGGTTATATGAACTTAGAGAGTTTGGTAATCCGGACATGGTGGTGGTTCTCGTTGGCAACAAATCCGATTTAGCTCAATCGAGAGAAGTTAGCTTAGAAGAAGGGCAAAGCCTTGCGAAGCTAGAAGGCCTATTCTTCCTAGAAACGTCTGCACGTGAGAATTTGAATGTGGAAGAAGCATTTCTACATATGATCACTAAGATCCATGAAGTTGCAAGCCAAAAAACCCTAGAAGCAAAGACTAATGGTGATCACAAAATGCCAACACTTCATGGAGGGAAGCAAATCATCAATGTTGATGAAGTATCTGCCACTAAACATACAAGTTGTTGTTCAAATTGAAACAAAATATGTATTTTGTATTTTTGGAGACAGTGTGGTTGAAAGAAGGAAACGGAAAAGAGGGGAGAAAAATGGAAAAGAAGTAAAATAGACCCAAAAAAAATTCAACTAAAGAAATTATTTATTTTCTTTCATTATTGGTTTGGTTGTCTAGCATTTCTTTGTTACGTTTGTTTGGGTCCATATGATGGAGAGGATTAAGAGTACGGTGGGATTGAGTAAGAAAATTATTAGTGTGGTGGTATTAGGTTAGAGATGTAGCATAAAGAGTGTTTGTTTGTATACCACAGGATTAGTTTTACTATAGATAGTATTAATATATAAAATTAATATTTTTTAAGTTTTAGTATGTTTTTAATATTATAATCATTTTTTTATTCTAAAACATATAATTTTTGCTTAAAAATCATTTAAAATTTCACTAATCCCCTCACTCAATTTCTAATCCCAATCCTCCGATAACTTTGTTAGTCCTACTACATGGGGAGATTAGTAGGTTGCACGGACTATTAGTATAATATCCCTTTCTAAAGAGCCAAACAAACATGACCTATAAGGAAACAAAGAATTTTTTATAACAACCCAATGTTAGCCCAATGATAGACTCCTTGCTTACCTCCCATTCATAGTCAGTTCCAATTCCCTCCACATTCCCTCTCCCTTTAAAATTTTACCATTGAACTTCTCAAGATTTTTTTTTTCAAAAAAATGTCATGCAAATCCCTTCAATTTTGTTTCCCCTTTTATATAACTAAACCAAAGAAGGAACAATTTTTCAATCTTTTCCTTTTTAGTATTGAAATTCAAACAATCTAAGTTGACTTAACTTGTAACAAGTTTAAAAGTTAAGAGTAATGTTAGAGATTTTAAAAATTCGATCAAAATTTTTACTAAATGTCTTATATGGGGGTAGGGATAACAATTTGAACCCGACCCGGCCCCCCAACCCTGATTAGAATGATTTTTTCTCAAAAAATACTCCCGACGGGCCGGGGATAGTATTCGAAAATGAATCCCTGACAATTTTCGGGCTGAGGACGGTGATAGGCTCCCCCATCCCGTCCCCGTTTCCACCCCGAATTGAAATTACTATTATGCCCCTATATATTTGTGTGTGTGCGTGTGTGTGTTTCTCTAGAGATTTTTTTGACTCATTGTAGGGTTTAGCTAATAATATTGGTTATGCATGTTACTTCGCAAAATTCACAAGGTTTTTTTTTTTTTTTTTTTTTTTTTTTTTTTTGATGTGGTGTGGGTGTTGTTTTGTATCTTGTTGATCATGTTGTTGTGTTTGGATGTTTATGTTTGGACATTACTGGATTATGCTTTTATATATATTATTTTTATTTGCTTGAGGTTGGGAAAATCCGATCCCCGTCAGGGGGCAGGACGGGGGTGATGGGTTCTCCGTCGGGGATCGAGGGCAAGGATGGAAAATTTTATACCTTCGGGGATCGGGAATGGGGAGTATAATCTCTGGTCCCGGCCCGGCCCGTTGTCATTCCTATATGTGGGTGAAATTCGCACCATGTGGATCTCATGTGAATTCCACACCCAGATAAGACATTTGATAAAAAATTTAATAGAACTTTTAACATCTTTACTATTTTTGAAAAGTTAATAATCTGGACACTTAAACGAAAGGGAAGGAGATTGTTTACGAATGCCATCTTGTAATGTTCTACTACCTTTAATAAAACCTTTACTTTTTGCCGAGTAAAAAACATAAAACAAAATAAAATAACAATCGTTATTTTTTTTTCCTAGGAAGTGAAGAGGTTTTGTAATATATAATTTTTTTATTTCTTTCTCTTTTACTAAGTTGGTACTATCAAATTTTTTTTAAAAGAAATACTAAGTTGGTAGGTGGGCTGTGTGAAACCAAATGATTTTTAGGACCTTTTCCTTTTTAAATTTTTGGAGTATTCTTAAAGCTAGACAACATCATGGTGCGTAAGCAAAACTTGGCCTAATGTTTTGGAAAAAATTAAATAATTATTTATTTTACAGAAAAAATTGGTCTAACATCTCTTTCTAATTTTTAGTAATAAGAAATGTTTACAATATTTTTTTTTTTTTTTGTAATTGCTAGTAAAAATTAGAGCAAATTACATATACCCCCTCGAGGTTTGGCTAGATACCCCCTGAGGTTTGAGAAATTACAAATTTCTCCCTGAATGTTATATTTGCATAATAAATTAGGGGGCAATTTGATATGAAATATAATCCTCAGGGGGCAAATTGTTATGAAAATATAAACAGGTCGGATGGTGGGTGGATTTCTGAAACCTCAGGAGGTATCTGTAATTTAGTCAAACCTCGAGGGGTGTATATGTAATTTGCCCTTTTGTTATTGAACTGAGAAATATTGCATAGAAATGTAATTATATCTATAAAAAAATAATTGTTTCATTTATATACAAAATGTAATGTCATTGTTTATAAACTGTTTAAGATGTCAGAGAGTTTGACAAACCTGAACCTTACTAAGCAATAGAGTAGGTATGTATGTGGTTAGGTGAATTTCAGTTTTTTGTGTGTTAACATTGAAAAATTATTGAATATTCCCGAAATACCGCGTGTCTGTACTCCCTAAATAATTATCATTCAATATACCACTCATATTCCCTAATTACCCAACACAATACCCACCCACTCACATTCTCTATCAATTATAATACTATAGAATATTACGTGTCTATATTTCAAAATTACTGAATAATTACCCGTTAACATTATAGTCAACAATTAAGGTTTTTATTTTTAAAGCAAAGTTCACGGGCTGCGCAAAAAGCCATAAAAAGGTTCGAAACACGTGATGTTAGAGGCATGTTCAATCACTAACATCTATTGTCGAAAGAAATCTAACAGCAAAAGGTGTTAGTAAAACCTAAAACAGAATGAAGTCATGAGAGAGCAAAAGGAGAAACGAAAATGAGACAGCATGATCTAAGCATTTGTTGCACACAAACTAAAAATCATAATAAAAGTGATTCCGTGTTTAATAAAAGTTTTTCTTCTCCAGTCCGTCCGTGATTGGACTGGAGGAAAGCCATCCCCTTAATTATAAATGAGGATTTAGGTTCATTGAAGGGTAGGGAAAAAGGGATGATCTTTTCAAAAAGGCCTATGGTGTGAGCGATGGAGCTAGAAAATTAACCTAGAGGATAATTATTAATCACAATCTCAATTTAAAAAATATATATATATATAATCCCTAATCAAAATTCCTAAATTTAGCACAAATCACTACAAATCGAAATCCCTTATGTCAGTACATCAAAATTCCTAATTTTGACACAAATAATGACAAATCAAAGTTCCCAAATTTTTGCAAATCATAACACATTTTTAGCACAAATAAATTATAATATAAAATATATTAAAAATACTATTACAAAATAAGAGGAGATTTCTTGCTTCAAATGTATGAAAACCGGGGTTTTCGGAAAAATTGTGTAAATGGATAAAGGAGTGTGCTGAGTTTCATCATCTGTTATTATTAATAATAACCGCCATCACAATAATTTGGTCTGAGATTCAAATTCAGATTAGAGCAATTCCTGAGAATATCAAAACTGTACATACCACACCATATGCACATTGTCACAAAATGAACTATGACAGAGAAAAGCAACTCCCTTGGCCAGATATTAACCATCATTCATGGTTTTGGTTCCTCTTTCCAATTCAAGCTTTTATAAATTACAACAATTAAACAACCCAATGCACTTTTTTTTTTTTTTTTGTCTCCGGGGAGAAAAGAATAAGGAAATATAGAAAACATGAAAAAAGTACTAGAAGAGAGAAAAGTAACTACAACTACTACAAACATCCCTCGCCCAACTCACCTGGGGCACCGTTGGAATGCAACATTAAGAAGGAAACCGTGATAAATGCGACTGAAGTTCCCGAGTTCCATAAGCAGGCCAGTGCAAGCAAATAAAACATGGAATACACTTAGTTAATGCATCTTCAATCCACTGCTTGTCTGTCCAAAGCTTGTTCTATTCCTTGCACAGAGAGCAAATCAAGTGAAAACCCCCATTTATTTTCAGAGAGAGAGAGAGAGAGACTTGTATGTACATATTGGGCATATTTGATTGGATAGATTAGAGTATGAAATTGGGATTATTAATCCATGGCCCAATTATTCTATGTTTGTTTTAACATTTTGGTTTAGGATTATTAATCCAATGGATAATTAATCCAACAAATTTATAGGATTATTAGTACTGGGGTAGGGTTGAGATTATTAATCTAATGGATAATTTATCCTATTAATCCAATGGATAATTTATCCTATTAATCCAATTAGATAGTGAATATTATTAATACCTCACTATTAGTCTTGTAAATCAAACATGGCCATTGTGTATTGAAGACTTGTATTCTCTCATCCTTGGGCAGGAGGAGCTTTGTATGGTTTTTGGAGGAATGTACATATTGAGACTTGTAGTCTCTTTTGGTTCGCACTCCTCAATGCATATTGTGTTATCTTTTGTTCTTGAGCCATATGTTAACAATGCAAATATAATGTATCAAAGTTCATTTAATGACCGAGCGCTTGCTCTTATGGGGAACATGACGATTTATAGGTTAAAATATGTATGCTTCCACCATTAACACAACTTATATCCCCTATAACTAGAGTACTATACAATTTGTACAATTAGGCCTTTGGTAGTTAGTGACTAATGACCAGTCACAACCCTATCCTTGTTGAGGGTAGTGACACTTCTATTCCCCTGTTGTACTCATGTCCACTAGATATGTAACGGGTAAAGGTATGGGATAGAAATCCCTTTTTCTTAAGTAATAACATCTATGTCATTATATAATACACTATACAAATGTATTAGATGTTCAAGACATGTTTGCGTACACATACCTAACTTTTGGATGCCAAAAGAAATCCCTTCACAAGTTTTGGATGTTCAAGACAACATAGTTAGAAAACCCTTCATATGTTTTTCTTTCATTCTTTCATGTGTCAATTACAAGAAATTAACATTCTTCCATGAATTGACATATAGATTGCCAAAAGAAGCATAAAAATGATTAGAAAAATGGTAATCAAACAGTGACATGGTGGTGGTGTACTTGTAAACTTTCAGGTGGCATGATAAATCTCAACATCCTGTAAAAGTATTGCATATATATATATAGCACTTCTCAAATGATTAATCTGAAGAACAATGAACCCAAACATAGACATACACGATTTACCCATATACAACAAATTTTATTAGAATTGCAAACATGTCTTGAGGAATGTGTATTACCAGTTTTGCCCTTCTTGAGGCAGATTTCGATTGTACATAGGGAACTCAAAGAGGAAAGCTTTCTTGAACCATGAGGGCAAGTTCCCATAAACTACAGGCGGCAGTGGAATCAGAGGGCTGGAACAAATAAGGTGCTACACTTAGTTCTTTTTGAAGGGTAAAAATAAGATTTAAAAATAAAATAAAATAAAATAAGCAAACAAACAAAAATGAATCTGACCTGGTTGTACTTTTATATACCCTGTATCCAGCCACATTGCCAAACTTTTTATCCGCTGAAACCTGTTTCAATGTGTAGTTAACACCATGAGCATATCCTCAGATGGCACTAATATTTGTAACTAAACCAAATGAAAGGGATTACAGACCTCAAGCAATGGTATGCCACTGACAAAAAGAAGCAACAATGTAAGGAATAACGGCCCAAGGATAACGAGCCAGTCAGCACCTTTCAATACTGGTGTAGAAGCCACGAAGATTCCCCACCAAAGCAAAATCTGAACACAACATACATCAAGAAACAAAAAATGAAATCAAGGGAAAGAAGTGTTCCACGTGTTAATATATAAAACCTGATAAGGTACAAACGTCTATTATCCAGAAATTTGAGATGACTCTGCCATGCACAGCCAGCTACGTCTATTATCCATTAACATAAGTAACTTTCCTCATTTGAATCAATGGCCGCTGTATCAATTATCATAGGTTGGGCAGAAAGGGAAAGGATCTTGGCATAAGCTTAAGCTTAGCCCTCTCTAACAGCTTAAGCTTTTAGATGAGTTGGTGTGTTCAAACCTCACCACCCACCATATAATTAAGATATTTGCATGTGTTTGGCCAGCCTATGAAGGAGATTCAGGTCACACGTGAGGGGCATGTTGAGAATATAAATAATAAAGTTACCTGCGATCAAGGTGGTGAGGTAGCTAAGGGTCGCACAAACAAAACTAACTAGTATTATCCACAATCAGTTGTTGCATCAACAAAATAAAACTTCAACCACAAGATATTTATTTACAAAATAGTAATTTTAATATTGTCTCAAAATTTGTGGCACATAAGTCTAGCTTGAATTGATGAAAAATGAGTGAAGCATTATTTGGGCTCCACATATAAAAGCTGACAGAATAAGCTTGCTAACCTCACCAAAATAGTTTGGATGACGAGAGTATTTCCAAACTCCAACACTGCACCATTTTCCTCTGTTTTCTGGGAAGTTTTTGAAATTCAGCTTTTGTTGATCAGCTGTAGCTTCAATAATGATACCAATGGACCACATAATCCACCCAATTATGTCCTGAGCTTGAATAGAGGGATTTCTGTCACTTGCATTAACTATTGTCACAGGTAAGCTCACAGTCCAGACCCAGACAGCCTACCACCGTTGAAGAATAAACTGGTTACAAACTAAGTAAATATTTTTAACACTGAGCTATAAACTGCATGAACTGCAAACATGTAGTTATAGAACATCCAATGGTCAACGAGGAGGCTAGAATACCTGAAATGTCCAGAACATTGCCAATTTGCCGAAATTGCCACGCATTTCATCAAAGCGTCGATCTTCTCCCCATTGTAAAATCCTGAGAAAAGACAATCAAGAACCATGACCGAAATTAATCTCCAAATGATACTTCTAAAGGAATCTTCCCAGTTCCACATTGCATCAGATGGCACTTGTTAGGTTTTTGTAATTGGCAATCTCGTTTAACAAAACTCTTTTTAGTTATAATTTTATTTGATCTTCTATTTTTTTTTTGATAAATAAACCAACTTTATTAAAAGGCATCAAGGCGATGCAAAGAATACAAAAGGTAGACTAACAAACAAAAAGCAGCCTAAACCAAAACTACACAAACACATGAATAAAAGCAAGCAAAAGAACTATGAAGACAAATTCTCTACAAATTCAACAAAACACAAAACAGCCGGGTCCACAGTCAACGTTAAGTGAGGCTATGAGTTTTTAGATATGAATCCAACCCGAATTGTGCCTATGTAGAGGATTTTGTGATTTTAATCCTATCATATTTGCCACTTCGCTGACTATGTCGGGGATCAAGCTGTCTGATCAGCTCGCGAGGGTCCAGGGGGCAGCGCCCCATAGCGGGTCCGAGGCAACGCCCCTGAAGCAAAAAGCAAAATTGCAGTTGAAGTTGTTTGTCCGCTCAAACGGCCGATTGTGCGCTCGAGCACAGATGCAATCCTTTCAGAAGTTTCACTCGCTTACAAAAGTACTGGGAGTTGTATTTTTCCGCTTGAGCGGCCTTTCCTACGCTCAACCGTAGATCCTTATTCTGAAACACACGTTTTAGTCAATCCGCTTGAGCAGCCATTCTTGCACTTGAGCAGAGATCGCGATTCTGTTTTTTATAAATCTACAATGAATTTAGTTTCTAGGGTACGGCTTCCAAATCTTTTTCTTAAACATTAGGGTTTTCATGTGGAGCATCTTTGCTTGTTTCCTTTGATATCTGTGAAAGTTTATATCATGAATTGAGTATATTATATCAAAGGATTTGTTTATTTTGTTTTATTCAAAAAGAGAGAGTTGTTCCTCGGTGGATTCCGTAGAATTAGAGCCTAAAGCTTTGGTGAATTCCGGAGTGGCTCATCGTCGTGGATTCGACATCAGTTTTATGGATTCAACGTTGGACAAGACAATTCCGAAGTGAAGACGGTGGTGGAAAAGGCACATTGAGGTCGGTTCAATTTGGGCGTGGATTCGCTCGGTAATTGAGAGTATACTTGTATAATTCTTTTTTGTCTTCTTAGTGGATTGTTTTGTGGCTTTGTTCCATGATTTTTTTTTATCACAATTAGAGGTACTCCAATTATGGTTTTTCCATGTTAAATCGTTGTATCGATTTGTCTTTGATTGTTTGATTGGGATTGTTATTTATTGGTTAAATTTGATACATAATCACAAATAAACATATCGGGAATTTTTAGATTTTACGAAACTGACAAAAAGAAAAACAAAAAAGCATGACATCAAAATAGACTGTGCATGTACACTCACAAATCCTTGTTCTTTTGTAAGAATAAAACAACCAGCCGTCATGAACTAAATTTCAGAGATGAGAAAAAGTTCTGGTGGCAAGGATGCACAATTGCATTCTCTCTCCACCTACATGAAGATTCTTGCACTAAGGCGGGGGGAATAGAAAATTTCCAATCCCATTTCCTTGGACATCATTTTCTCATAGATATGGGCATATCAAATTTTCCAAAAATGTTGCAGCTCAAAAAGAAGATGCTCCCCCAAGCATAGTCACTGAGATGGGCAAATTGGTTTTCACAGTGGAAATTTGATGTTAAGCACATCAAGAGGAAAACTAACTTCATGATTATTTCTCCAGAACCTAAAAAATCATTTTCCCCATTTTGCACGTTACTTTCACCCTTGAATCATTAAATCTCCCATTCCACCTTCGGTCTCAAATCCTATAGAATTGACCGAGGTCCTGTCTATAATCATCTTTTCCATCATGTCTATCCCTTTCTCACCTCCATCGAACTAAATGAGAGAGAGAGAGAGAGAGAGAGAGATTGTAAAGGCGCTCTAAGGCATCATTATAGAAGGCTTTGTTTAAAGGAGTTGCATACAGTGAAGAGAATATAATCAGAATATCCAACAAACGAACTTCAAAAGTGTGAACACTGGGGCAGCACAAATCTAATACTATTTCATGAAGATAGAAATAGACATTTATGAAAAATAAATAAATAAAATAAGCTTTTCATGCAATATTATCTCAATCTTACCTCATCAATAGAAATAGTCCCAGACGAAGACCCCATATTACTACAAGCAATGACAAGACAACCTGGAAAAAATAGTACTGTAATTTCATACATAAGGAAAGAAAACCTGAAAAATAAAACCGCAATATCATACATAAGGAACAAGGTCAAATAAGAAAGTGGACAGCGTCCGACTGTCGGGTAATATTCTACAATACACTTTTAGACAACAACTCATTTTCTTTCTTTATCAATTTATAAGCATTGGTTTATAGTTTTAATCCAGCATTTATAGTTCTGAAGGAACAACAATAAACATAAGAAGACCTTGAACATTTTCTAAAATGAAAAGAAGCACGGGAGTTGAGTAGGACTATGTTACTAAACTTACAACAATTTGCAGCTTTTTGTAAAAAATTAGCAAGCAGGGAAAAAAGGAGTTTTAAGTTGTGAAGCCGAGGGCCTACACATACAGCTAAAACAGATAGATGGGTGTTTCTATTTTGGGACAATAAATTGTCATCCACATTTAAAGATTATATGAGGGAGAAGTGGTGCAGGACATAATAGAAAAGTCATACTAACATCGCCTACAATTGGTTTTGTAGTGGGCTAGGGTTATAGAAATTTAGTGGCTTTAGGCATTGGAGAAGGTCACTACATTTTCAAGGTGTGAAATTTTTAATTTTTTTAATTAAAATAGCAAACCTATTGTTGATAAAATTAAATATTTGACATAAAATAAATATTAAATATTTAAAAATATGAAATATAATAAATATATAAAATTATATGTTTCGCTTGTCTCGCCAACGTGTTGTGTCTTGCAGTTTTTGAAAATTTGAGTGTCCACGTGTCTGTGCCGTGTCGTGTGTCTGTGTCCGTGCTTCTTAGCTATTAAGTCTTATAGGATCGTTATATGGCAGTGAACAATAATTTAAGAGTACCAACTTAACGAAGAAGAAGAAAAAGAATCAAGAAATCCCATCAACAATTCCTTAGGGATCATTCCATGAGGTAAGGTAGCTTGAGTATCACACAAAGTTTAGAAAGTTTCAGAAAATTTAATTTAAAATTTACAACAGCGCTTAGAAATTATATCATTGTTTGTGATGTACTACTACGTTGGACCTTCTCTTAACTCTACTAAGATTTAGACTACAAAATGTAAAACCAAGAAACTTCTTTCATTAAAAACATTCTAGAGCTAACAAATACTACTTCTAAGGCCCAAAAGGATAACTTGACCCAGGAAGGCTAGTGAACCATTACATCGACCACATCTAGCAAATCTCAGATTCCAGAGAGAGTGAGTGAGGTCCATTTACCTGTCTAAAATGCCATGTTCCTTTAAGAACCACGGTCAATACAGCAAGTATAATAAAATTGGTACTACCTGGCAGAAACAACCGCAACTAATCAACATAACCACATGACTGATAAAACAATTTTAGGCATCAAAACTAAAAATTTACAACAATCAAAGCTGACATAATTCATCACTGTTAACATGGAATGGAATTAATACAATTGGGAAATTAATTATATTAAGACAATACTAGCTTCAAATTTCCAAATAAGGGCATATCTTCTTTATACTTGAAAATGGTGAAGGGAAAGGAAAAAGGATAAAGAAAAAGAAAAAGAATTCCCTTGCACTTTCCACCTACTTTGAAAAAAAAAAAATTTAAATTAAGAAATTCTCTAGATGATCACAAATTATGGAAAAGAAAACTAAATTTAATAATTTGATATTAAGAATTTCTCTCTGGCTTGACCTTATTCATTTATTTCCCTCTCCATTTTCCATCCATTGAACCAAACAATGAAAAATGGTTTCCTCTATGTTTTATTTCCTTTCTTTCCCTTTCTTTCCTTAAAGATTTACATTATGTGAGGATCGACTGATTTTTCAGAAATATAATCAAACCAAACTCTCTAGTGAATAAAATAACAAAACAAAACAAAAATTTCCAGAACAAATTTTCTTCAAGGCTCCACAAAAATAACCAGAAACTACGTACATAAAGTACCTTGACAGTTCCTTCGTGCTTGCCTAGGCCATCTCCAACCCTTACTTATACTTTAACTTAAATTGAGTCAAAGTTCGAGTAAAAAGCTTCATTTGGTATGAGGCACTCCAACGGATAAATTCAAATTTGAGTAAAATTGCCGAAGTGTCAAGTTTTGAGTGGGTGCTAGGAGTTGGAGTAAAAGAGAATTAGGAAAATCTGAGTAGAAGTGCCCATGTGTCAAATTTTGATTGAATAGAAATTTGAGTAAATGAAATGGATATCCCTTGGTTTGAGTGAAAATTTGAATAAAACTCAATTCGTATAGGTTTGAGTAAACGAGTGGGGTGGATTTTAGTGACCTTTTACTCAAATTTAAGTTTGAGTCAAGATTTGGATACGGGTTGGGGATGCCCTTACAAAGAAAGATGAACCAAAATTGTAATTCCGAATCTTGCTATTATGCACTATTTGAAAATTTACACCCTGTTTGGTTTTGTTTTCAAAATTTGTTTCCTAAAAAAAAAATGGTTTGGCTATGTTACATGGACTCTTCAAAATAAATCAAATACTAGACAACGGTATGAGATATGTGTCGGCTACTTTTCAACAGACATTTCTTATTAAATTATATATAACACTATTATTATATATACATATTGTTGTATAATTGTTAGAAATGTCTTTTTGACACCGTAAGTTACATTACATATGGCACTATTTTATCTCACACCCTTTATGAAAAACATAAAAGTATAACATTTTTTTGCCGAGTCAACGTATTTTTAAATTTATGGTTTGATGAATCTGACCTTTAGATACATACGGCACCTAACACCCGTACTCGAGTCCGTTTGGTGGGGAGAAAAAAAAAAACTGGTATGGTGAAAAAAAATGGGGGGAAAAAACCAACAAAAAAAATACTCAAATGATTTTCTCTTTTTTTGAAAGAAATAATTTTGAAAATTCAACAAAAATAAACACCAAAACGATATTGTTGAATTTTCAAAATTAAATTAATTTCTATTTTTAAGGGGAAAAAAATTAAAATTAAAAACAGATTTTAAAAACAAAATTATCTAAAAATTGAAGCTCTAAACTATTTCCTTATACTTCTGAGCAACCAAAAGCACAAAATCAACTGAAATTTTCAGGAACCACGATCAATTCGAAAACACCACAACAACAACAATAACTGATTATTAAAAGAGAGAGAGAGAATACCAGCGAAGTCAGTAACTTTGTCGAACTTGAGAAGAGCTGTGATTAGGAAGAAGATGAACTGATACCCCACCTGTAACACACAATTCTTAAAACCTCATCTATACCTACATACATATACATATAGAGAGAGAAACTAGAGAGAGAGAGAACGAGACATACAGTCACAAGAGCAGTGAGGGCAAGAAAATGGGAGTCGATTACGGTTCCCATAATCTTCTGCAACTGAAAATGAAGACCACTCTCCTACACACACACAGATACATGATACATACCCATAGCTATATATAGAGGCTCTGTTTGGTCGGGGCTGTGAAAATGTGCTTGTATTTAAACAGCTTATAACTTATAATTATAAACATAAATTAATTTTTTGACCCACTCAAAGAAGAAGTTGACTTCTGATTTCTAAAAAGGTATAAGCTATAAGTTATAAACTAAATCAAACACATTAAAATAACTTAAATTAAGCTAAAAATTAAAATAAGCAGTTTTTAAGCTGTACCTAACAGGCCATAGACATTGTTATGGCTATTACCAGAGCATAAATTTCTTGGGGGCAGAGCAAGAGCAAGAGGTGCTTCAATAGGATGTACTGTACAACTCAATTTAGCTCAGATTTGACTATCATTTTGGAGCTAAAAAAACACACAAAATAACAAAATAGTTTAAATAAATTAATAAGATAAAACATTAAATCCAACTTAATAATTATATTTCTTTTCACAAAAAATAAAAAAATTCAAACTAAATAAGACTAAAAAAAAATTAAATATAAAAAATTAACTATATTAACCAATGTCAAATCGTTGGTCCACTGTTCCGTGTGGTTGGTATTTGAACAGCGCTTCCTCCATTTTTTTATTTTTTATTTTTTTTTACAGTTATTTGCTGTTGTATTAGAATTGAAAAGTATTTTGGTCTCAAAAGATATTCTACTTCTTTTTAAGCTCGGGTTTATCTACCATTGTGGAGCTAAAAAAATATAAAAAATAATAAAATAGTCTAAATAAGTTAATAAGATAAAATATTACATCTAATTTAATTATTATAATTTTTTTTACAAAAAATAAAAAAATTCAAATTAAATAAAACTAAAAAAATTTAATATAAAAAGTTTACTATATTAGTCAATGTCAAATCGTTAGTCCACTGTTCCGTGTGGTTGGTATCTGAACAGCGCTTCCTTTATTTATTTGTTTATTTTTTTTATTTTTTTATTTTTAACAGTTACTTGCTGTTGTATTTGAATTGAAAAGTATTTTGGTCTCAAAGGGCTTTACATTCTACTTCTTTTGTTGAATTTTCTAATTTTTTTAAATAAAATTAGAATTAGTTTGATAAAATTAAATATTCAAAAAAAAGTTTTAAAAGTTATTTTAGTCTCAATAAAAAAAAAATTCATATAAAAACTTTTTTCACCAAAATATTTTTAAAAAAATTGGTGAAAATTTTAATTTAAAAAGAGTATAAGGTATTAGATTCAAAATAAAATCTTGTTTGGTAAAAAAAACATGTTAGAAAAGTCGGTGCCGATGACTGGCAGCAACAAGTAGTGGTGGTGATATAGAGAAATGTGTAATATTCAACATATAAAATATTGAATAAGTAACGTGTTACATTTCAACAAATAAATAATTTGATAAATTTCAATAAATAAATATATAGTTGCCCTTTGAAAAAAAAAAAAAAATGTGTCCTTTTGTCCCCAAAGAAATTAGAGCTTAAGCCCTAATGGCCCAAAAGATTAAGAAATATGCCCTTTTTTTTTTTTTTTTGGGTGAATGTTAAGAAATGGACCTACGACCCAAGTGCCCAATAGTTTAATTGAATTATTATTTTTTAGGTCCTATTTTTCTCATGTGATACTATTTTAATTTTCAAAATGATAAATTATACTGATTGCCTCAAAGTTGGAAAAAAAAAATTCAAGTAATCACATAATTTTGATATAATTATATATACTTTCTATTTTAGTAAGGTTAAAGAGACCAAAACTAACACAAATAGTGTGGAGACAAAAATATAAGTAAGGAAGAATATGCATTTAAGTAAAAAAAAGATGGCAATATAAGCTTGCGTTTGTTTGTGTTTTGTAATTATGATTTGAGAGTATGAGTTGTATTTTGAATTTGTGGGGTTTGGAATTATGATTTGAGTGTAAAAAATTTGTTTGGTAAATAGTTTTGAAAAGAGTTTTGATTTGAGTGGGGAATTGTTAATATGACATTTGATATTTGATATAAAAATTTACAACTCATAACTAAACATATAACTCAAAATTATTTTAAAGCACATAAAATATTTTAAAAATTTCAGAAAATGTTTTTTTCGATTATACAAAAATTAACATATCAATTGCAAAAAAAAAGAAAAAAAAAATCACTATTCCGGTCAATCGGCTGGACGACCGGCCAGACATCCCGTCAGGCAAAATTTTCAAAAAAAAATTCTGAAAAGTGCGGCTGAGAAAGCGGCTGAGACAGAGCTCTCCGCAGAATTTTCGAAACGTGATTCTAAAACACTAAATAAACACCATATTCAAACTCTGGTGTAGAAAACTAGTTTGAAAACATATAATTTAACTGATTTTTGATGAAAAGAAAATTAAATATTATGTGAATTAAAGCTTAATGGAGGCTAATATAATTATATCAAAACTATGAGACTTGTTAGATTTTCTTCAAATCTCATGAAAGATTAGTGTAATTTACCCTTTTAAAAATTAATCAAGAGTGCTGCTATTAGCACCTCATTTATTACTTTGGACAATCTATTTTTTTGGAACCCCACTTACAAATTTTGAAACCCTTAAAATTTCTTTCATTCCTTAAATAATACTAAAATTATCCTTATGAAAATTTTACTCCTACTCAAATGCACACTCACACACCCTTAAAAATTATTCTCTCTCAAAACTCTAAAAAAAAACAAATAAATAAAATTACTCCTCAAAACTCATTCTCTTTCTCTCCCAATGGTGGAAGGAAAATGTTTATGAAGTGAATTGATCAATACAAGAAACGTGTTCTCTATGACTTCACTTTTTCCTCCGCATTAAGTGCAGATGCCTTCAATTCCAATCAATTTCTTTTATCAACCCTAAACCCTAAAGACACAGATATAAATATATATCTATGTCTATGTATAGTTCGAATGGAGCAAATTCGCATTTTGCTCAGTTTCAATCTCGCCCCTCTCTTATCCTCCAAAGTCTCTCTTCTCTTTCTCTCTTTCACTAAGAATGTTCGGATCTGTATTCCCAAACAAATAAACTATGTTCAGGTATGTATTCCCGAACAAATAATCAATTTTCAGGCTTGTGTTCCTAAACTTGATAGAATGAAAACTCCTGCAAATGTGAACATTTTTAACCCTTCAAAGTGTATCAATTTTTTATGTTCAAACTTGTGTTTTTGAACAAATAACCAATATTCAGGCTTGTGTTCCCGAACAAATAAGCAATATTCGGGTATGTATTTCCGAATTTTGATCATATGTTCGGAAGTTCAATATCCAAAAAAGTACAATAGTTTTCATCATTTTTGACGTGTTTTTCAAGAAACTATCCTTACAAAAACTATCCTTACAAGGCTAACTTCCTCCGAGCTGAGAACACCATCAGAGTTATGAATCTTCTCTAAATTTACATTGTTGTACTCTTCTTGTTTCATAAAATTATGGTTGGTGAAGAAACTTCTACTCATTGTCATTGCCGGAGAAGTGTGTGTAATTTAATGATTGCAATCATTGTCACCGGAATATCGTTGCCGGAGGATTCTCAAGGTTTTGAGGGTAAGATTTGGGAAAGATTGATGGATAGTGATAGAGGTGGGTATTCTCATAAACTCTATCTCATGATATGGTGAGTGGGCTCAATTATGAAATGGAGTGTCCCAAAATAATTAATATCCTCTTTAGTAATTTTTTTAAGGTTATTATTGTAATTTTAAAAAGGTCAAAAAATAGGAGTCCAAAATAATAAATGGTTTGTTAATAACAGCACTCTTAATCAAATATATTTTGTGGTGAAAAGGGCATGGGAATAGAAATTTTTTGAACATAACTAAACACCAACCAAACTATTTGAGTTCAATAGTTGTTCAATTTGTTAAAAATCTGTTCAAAATCAACTCACTATGAAAACAAACCAGTTAGGAACACATTTCCAATCCTAAAAGATTTTCAACTCAAATTTAAACAATCTACTACTCTATTCAATAAATTTATATTTATATCCACTTACAAAAAAAAAAAAAGTAGAAGAAGAAGAAGAAGAAGATACTTGAGTTGGGTTCATTTGATGAATATGCCATTTTTATTTTTTTTTATTATTTTATTTTTTTATAGAACTAATGGTGAATTAGTTCTATGCCATTTTCCTTCACTTCGATTTCTGGCACACAAAGGTTTCTGTTGTATTTATTTTTCATTCTTTCCTAGACTGTATTACTTGACAGATTTGCAAATTCTGAGGTACTAAAATTTGGGTTTGTTTGTACCAGCATAATCAAACAACATAATCAATCTGGGCCTCTTTGTATCTAGGAGACAATTCACTGGTAACTCAGTGCACAACATCGAGAATTATATGCCAATTGGAAGCCGTTTGACAAAATTTGACTGGTAGAAAACAGAATTGACTCTCTAAAAGTCACAAATAACTGTCAAATGCAATGGATTCATTGAAAACACTATATATTAAGCAGAATGAACATGCAATGTAATGTTGTACTTTTATGTAGTTTGTTTATGATCACTTTGACAGTTGCAGACACTCGTCAACTAAAAATCAAGCTGGTGCAATGGAGACCTTGTCGACCTCAACAATGTACTCAAGAGTCGCGTTCGGGGGAATTTGAACGCCAGAGCCTAAATCAGAGCCCTGCTCGCCAAATCCCAAAATCGGAGGAATAATCACTCTCCTTTTACCACCTGCCTTCATGGACCTCAAAACATACTCTATGCCTTCACACATTCCCTTTGTGTACGGTCTTGACCCCATTACTAGAGCCAATGGCTTTTGTTTGTCACCATTGAACGTGTCTACAAATGCTTCTCTGCTTCCTTCGACATTTCCCTTTAGATCAATCACAACTAGGTCTCCTAGCCTTGGAGAAGCACCGCCACCAACTCTCAATTCATAGTACCTGATTGATATTGCCATTCCTTTTATAAGGAAAACAAAGGAACAATTGTGCTATGTTTGTTTCGGCAAAAAATGTAAAATATTTTCTGTCAAAACAAACAAAGTATGTATTTGAAGTTCAAATATACACCAAGTTAGGTTGGTCACTTGAGAAATTTTTACCTTAGTCCATTAGGCAATAGCACCTCTTCTTGCTTCTCAACATCTCTGGAGCACATAAAGTCAGTTTTACATTAATTATGACGTCAACAATGAAGTTGAACTTCCATAATTGCAGACCAAACAAGAATTTATGCAATTTATTAGATGAAACATTGGAACATCATAATTTATGTATGAAACATGAAGATTTTCTAGTTTGAAAGGTAGAGTTGATGAATGCATACAGACATCGGGAACTTGTTTATTGAAATTAAAATTTTGAATAGCTTTCCAAACGTTCTATTGACAAGTTTAGTAAGAAAAACGAAAAAAAAAATTCATTCTTTGGTTTTACATACCTTGTATTTGTTTCTTGTTGGGAAACTTCAAGGCGGGTTTTGATTTGTTCAGAGACAACACCAATGCCAAGGAAGGCAGCCCACGCGAGGCCGGCACCAAGCCCAAACCTCCTGGTTAAGGAGGAAGCTATCCAATCTGTGGAATCAGCAGTTGAAGTGGTTGCAGGGTTGGTAGGCTTCTGCTGTTGTACTTTTACTGAGACGGGGGACAGTGGCTCTGTTGAGGTTGTACTTAGCTGTGGAGATGGGGAAGGAGATAGGGGTTGAGAAGGTGGAGTTGGTGGCTGAGGAGGAGGAGGTGTTTGGGAAGAAGAAAAGTGGTGAGTTCTTGTAAGTGGAGGAGAGAAAAGTGGTGGAGATCCAAAGAAGGTAGCCATTTTGGGGGATACAACTTTAGTTTAAAAGTTTTTAAGATATGGGGCATAAGGAAGCAATCTGTTGTGTCACTGCAATGAGTGGACAATGGTCCCAACCTTATCCTCATGTGTGATGGAAGTTTACGTGGTAGGTTTCTTTAGCATCTTCAGCTCTTTTTATGCAGGGTGCTTGGCTGCAGGGAAACCTAAATTAGTTCTCTCCCAAACATACAATGCAATGACAAGAATGTATAGTGTTCAATTGTGATGAATCATGACAGGGCATCGCGATTATGTTTTTTCATCGTTAACTTAGGCAAAAAGGGACACAATTCACACCCTAATATGCTCCATCACAACAGCTTGTTTGGTACAACTTTTTACAATTTGAAAGCTGATAATTAAAAAGATGATAAAACTAACCCATACTTTCCAATAATCAACTTTTTCAGCTTATTCAAGCTATTGATGCCTCATAATTTGTCGACATAAATTTTACCAAACATGCTGACACAGATTTTCCACCCAAAAAAAAACAAACAAACAAACAAAACTATAAGCAGTGCCAAACAGGACCAACAAATTGCAAAGTACCGGTTACACATCTTGCATAACTTTGACCTCCTTGAACATAACCCACATAAATTAAATCCCTCTTTTGGTCACTAATTATGGCAACAATATGCTTTACAATTTGTTATATTATTTCACCTCTTTTTTAACTCATGCCATCACCTAAATTGACTACAAGAACTCAAAACCTTAATTACAATAAATTCAAATGAATTTTACAAACAAATACACAATTTTGACAACGGCTGCACGAACAAGCCAAGAATATAAAAGAAAGGGGAAAAAAAAAACCAGAGAGAAAAAAAAGGAAATGTAGCAAGAAGAATCACATTTATCTCAAATTTGAAGTGTACGACTGTCAGGATCTTTAACCCGGTCTATTTTCTCACACCTGTCCCGAGCAATCTGGGATTTGCATCCATTTCTAGGCATTCCAAGAGTCGCGATTTGGCTTTGCTTCTTCATTGACTCTTTTCAGCCTGTCGGGTCTTCTAAAGTGCGTGATGGGTGGCCCCTCTGCCCACTGCTTATCGGCATACTTGGTCTAGGCACTTGTGCAGCGTTTACAGGCTTTTGTAGTGGCTTCAGAGTAGCCATTATCTCAGCAAACGAAGGCCGCAGTTTTGGATCTCTAAAATGTTAAAAGCAATGAGCATTACTATTAGATACCAGTTCATATAGTAGGCTGATAATTGCATATCAAATGCGTCTATAGTATATTATATACTCTGCAATAAAACCACAAACATTTGTCTTTAAATAAATAAAATATTGTTGGTCAGCTAAAATGCTTTACTTGCACAAGCATGGAAATACTTTGATGCTTCATCACATAAGTAGTTAGCTATGAAGCATAGACACTCCAAAATCGGTGCTGTGACGGTGTCCGACAAGCGGACACGCCGGGGACATGCCAGATGGCGTGTCCCTTTAATTTAATGATTTTTTTGTAGGGGACAAGGCGGGGACACGCGTATCAGGACACGGCGGGGCTCACTTCTTTTTTTTTACTTCTTATTTTGCATCTTTAGTGCTTTTGTGAAAAATATTGTTGGATGTTGAATGTTTTTCCCTTCTCGTCTTAGTTATTGTTATCGTTTATTATAATTTTTTTGTGAATGGATGATCTATTAATTTGTTTAAATATAGTGGTCATATTTATTGAATTAATGTTACTATATTAGTGTTTGTTAATTTTGATTTTAGAATGAATGTAATATGAATTTACATAATACATAAAAATATATAATAAAAAAAAAAAATCGTCGTGCCTGTGTTTGTGTCTGTGTCCTCATTTTTTGAAAATTACCATGTCCGTGTCTGTGTCCGTGCTTCATAGGCAGTCAGTAATAGTGTTCTTGGTCCTTTAATATATAAGGGAGGAAGAAAACTGAAGCATGTATTCACAAAGAAATAATAGGGACAAACTTCCAAAAATAGTCTCTCACTGGTACAGACTAAGAGGAAATAATGCCACTTGTCGTTTTTCCATCCAAAATATTAATGGCAGACAACAAAAGGACCACATTAAAATGAAATTGAAAGTTTGAGGTTTACATTGATGAAATTGAAACAAGGACCAAAGTGAATTACATTCAGATTAAAGGGACCAAGCACGAATGGTATATTTTACCCTAACAAATAAATTATGAATTTCATTTTGATTTCTCTAGTTTCACATGTGCTGTTTTTCCGTTCAAAATGTTAGCTGCAACTGACGGAGGGATCACATTAAAACAACATTCACAGTGTAAGGTTTAAATTGATGAAATTGGGACAACTAGGACCAAGGTGAAATTCACTGAAATTAGAGGGATCAATGGTACAATTTATGCTAATAACTAAACTCTGAATTTTGCTTTAGTTTCTCTAGTTTCACATGTGTTGTCTTTCCATCCAAAATGATGGGATTTGCATCCATTTCTAGGCATTCCAAGAGTCGCGATTTGGCTTTGCTTCTTCATTGACTCTTTTCAGCCTGTCGGGTCTTCTAAAGTGCGTGATGGGTGGCCCCTCTGCCCACTGCTTATCGGCATACTTGGTCTAGGCACTTGTGCAGCGTTTACAGGCTTTTGTAGTGGCTTCAGAGTAGCCATTATCTCAGCAAACGAAGGCCGCAGTTTTGGATCTCTAAAATGTTAAAAGCAATGAGCATTACTATTAGATACCAGTTCATATAGTAGGCTGATAATTGCACATCAAGTGCGTCTATAGTATATTATATACTCTGCAATAAAACCACAAACATTTGACTTTAAATAAATAAAATATTGTTGGTCAGCTAAAATGCTTTACTTGCACAAGCATGGAAATACTTTGATGCTTCATCACATAAGTAGTTAGCTATGAAGCATAGACACTCCAAAATCGGTGCTGTGACGTTGTCCGACAAGCGGACACGCTGGGGACATGCCAGATGGCGTGTCCCTTTAATTTAATGATGTTTTTTGTAGGGGCCAAGGCGGGGACACGCGTATCGGGACACGGCGGGGCTCACTTCTTTTTTTTTACTTCTTATTTTGCCTCTTTAGTGCTTTTGTGAAAAATATTGTTGGATGCTGAATGTTTTTCCCTTCTCGTCTTAGTTATTGTTATCGTTTATTATAATTTTTTTGTGAATGGATGATCTATTAATTTGTTTAAATGTAGTGGTTATATTTATTGAATTAATGTTACTATATTAGTGTTTGTTAATTTTGATTTTAAAATGAATGTAATATGAATTTACATAATACATAAAAATATATAATAATAAAAAAAAAAATTGCCGTGCCTGTGTTTGTGTCTATGTCCTCATTTTTTGAAAATTACCATGTCCGTGTCTGTGTCCGTGCTTCATAGGTAGTCAGTAATAGTGTTCTTGGTCCTTTAATACATAAGGGAGGAAGAAAACTGAAGCATGTATTCACAAAGAAATAATAGGGACAAACTTCCAAAAATAGTCTCTCACAGGTACAGACTAAGAGGAAATAATGCCACTTGTCGTTTTTCCATCCAAAATATTAATGGCAGCCAACAAAAGGACCACATTAAAATGAAATTGAAAGTTTGAGGTTTACATTGATGAAATTGAAACAAGGACCAAAGTGAATTACACTCAGATTAAAGGGACCAAGCACGAATGGTATATTTTACCCTAACAAATAAATTATGAATTTCATTTTGATTTCTCTAGTTTCACATGTGCTGTTTTTCCATTCAAAATGTTAGCTGCAACTGATGGAGGGATCACATTAAAACAACATTCACAGTGTAAGGTTTAAATTGATGAAATTGGGACAACTAGGACCAAGGTAAAATTCACTGAAATTAGAGGGATCAATGGTACAATTTATGCTAATAACTAAACTCTGAATTTTGCTTTAGTTTCTCTAGTTTCGCAATTGTTGTCTTTCCATCCAAAATGATTACGGCAACTAATGGAGGGATGACTTTGAAATGAAATTGAAAGTGTGAAGTTTAAATTAATAAAATTGAAACAACAGGAACTAAAGTGAAATTTCACTCAAAATAGAAGAACCAGTGGGGCAATTTACCCTAATAATGAAAAACAATAAACTCCTACTCTAATTAGTAATCAAGTCAAGCAGAATTACTAGAGGGGTGAAATTTCACAATATATCAAAAAACAGATTGCCTGGAAGGCTTAAATTCAGAATTTACTCACGTTTGCCAGCATTTCATAATAATATTTGCAATAACGGGATCCATATCATCGGGAATGTCAAGACGACGATGCTGAAAACCCACCGCACCGACAACTTGCATTGGGTTCATTCCCCCCCACGGCTGCTGCAATGTACAGAGCTCCCATAAAATAACACCAAAGCTATAAACATCACACCTGAATTGCATCCAGTAATAATTCAGCACTGGTGAACAATTCACAAAGATAAATATACAAATAAATAAAAAATTTAAAAACATAAATGATTTACGTAGGGAAAAAAATGAAAAAGAACAACCTACTTTTCATCTGAAGGTTCATTTCTGAGCACTTCTGGGGCCATCCACTCAGCCTGTAGAAGAGTATAGTGCACAGCAGCATTATTAAAGCCGTCTTGATGTTATAGTTGTGTTTAAAGAAGTATCAATGCCAACAAAACATTTATAAAATGACAACAACAACAACAACAACACGAAAAACAAAAACAAAAAAAAACCAGAGAGAAAAAAAAGGAAATGTAAAAAAAAAAAAAATTTCCAATCAATTAATAAACACATATAAGAAACATAACTACAATACACTATCAAAGTTTATATCTTAATACCTAAACACATAATGAAGTTAGTTTAATGAAAGTACACTACAGAAAAAGCTTAAATTCCTCCAAATGTTTTGCATCCCAACAGCAAGCTCTGATCTTGGGTTAGGCATCCTAATAGCTATCAAACTGCATACATTTTTTTTTTTTTTTTTTGGAAGTCCTTGAAGATGTAATTTACCAACCATCGGATTAAAACATTCAAGTCAATATGGTCCATATGATCCTATAGAAGAGAGACATTCTTGCCTTGTTCTTTCCAATTAGCCTTCAAGGATGCCACAACAACACATACCAAATCCCATGTATTGTTTTAAAAGACATTCTTGCCTTGTTCTTTCCAATTAGCCTTCAAGGATGCCACAACAACACATACCAAATCCCATGTATTGTTTTAAACTTTTAGGCCCTAATTGATTGTCAAGATTGGATAAAAGGGGGTGAGAAGGATAGGTAATACCTAAGGATATAGAATGGAATATAATATGCTTAGGATGTGAGATGGATTAGGGCAGGATATAGCATGGGATAAGAGGAGAGTGATTATTTTTTCCTGTTAAATGTATACACATCTGTGCAAACAAATATGTTGATATCTCATTTTATTTTGAACTTCCATCATTACAATTTGGCCATACATTTCCATAATTGTCACAACCATGTGCTAATTTTTATTTTGCATATATATGTTTTATTGTAAAACCCCATTTGTGGGCATGTGAATTTCATGAATTTAATTTTTTTCGTTCTTTTTTTCTGTATGCAATTTTCATGACTTATTACAAATCGTTTATCTTCTGAGGAAGTGATTTTTTTTTTTTTTTTCCGTAAAATATTTTAAACATGAAAACTTTTCTAGTGTAAAACATTTCACATCAATCTCAACTCAGTTTCCGTCATATGGAAAGCATATTGTGAATTTGAAGGTATATTTTATGGTAAATTACACTGACCTCCCTTGAGGTTTGAAGAAAATATAGCAAGCCCCATATTTTTTACATAATTACACTAAGCTCCCTTTTAGAAAGGCTAAAGGAACCATGTCTAATGCAGATGGTGCGAAAAAAACAAAGATAAACAACGTAGAATATACATTTCAATGAAAAAAAGATGATGCCATCATTTTTCCATCCATGACTAACAAATTTCTCATGAAAAGGGGGCTAAGTGTTATGCTAAGTAAAACCTTAAGGGAAACCAATGTAATTATGTCAAACTTGTGGGGTTTATTATATTTTCTCTAAACCTCAGGAGAGGTCAGTGTAATTTACCCTATCTTTTAACCATGGATCACAGCAACCACCTTGTTGAAGGAGGAAGTTGGCAACCAAAAACATCTGCAAAGGCCTGGGTACTAGTACCAACAGCACTGGGGTATCTTCACCAAAATGGCTGCTAATAAAATGATGTAAAAAAGATTAGCCAATTTCGTATCGCGGCATTACTGTATTCCACAAGGAAACACACCAAGTAATATAATATGCAACAGAAAGTCACACACAAGAAACAAACCAAATTAAATCCATATAAACGTAAAATATGTAAACAAAATAAGCATGCCTGTTATTGCAGGTATATAATGGACTAAAAAAATGGAAAAAAATAAAAATCTAGCAATGCAGAGAAAACTATAAAACAAAAAGTTTGAGCAAAAGTAAACAACAAAGAGTTAAAAATAAAGAAACAAAATATAAGCATGCAGCAGAGGAATAGGGCTAAATTACAAATTCACAAGTACTGCTTACCGTCCCTGCAGTTGACCTTGAAGAAAGAAATGTGCTGTGTTTCATTCGAGATAACCCAAAATCACAAACCTAATAACAGTAAAATTCAAGTCAAGATTGGTTAGCTTTGGAACATGGGTAATATTTCACCAAGTAATCTTAATGATGAGATAAAGAAGCCACCTTCACAACCCAATTCTTATCAACAAGGAGGTTTGGAGATTTCAAATCTCGATGAACTATCACCGGTGTGCAGTTGTGCAAATAATTCATTCCCCGAGCCTGAACATGTAATTATTTAAGGGAGGTACATTAATTATTCTAGTGAAGTCACCAAGTAAACCAGAAGTTCCAATGATTTATATTCAAATAAAAGGCAAAGATCATACAGCATCGAGAGCCATCCTCAAACGCCTCCGTTCATCTAATTGATTGTTAGGCCGGTGAATCAACCTATACAAACTGCCTCTGCAAAATGTAAAGCATGCTTCAAAATTCTAAATCTAAAGTAGTTACAATTAAAAAATAAATAAAATAAAAAAAACTGGATTACCCCTAACAAAACACAATACAATTTGATACTTCTTTAATGATTATGGTCATCCATGAATTGAGATTGCCTCAATAACACAGAAAAACATAACTTTGAGTCTTTGACCATACAAAGTGTTAGGAATCTGTAACACCTAATCAAGATTGGTGAAACACAAAACACAGAAATAAATAAAAACACAAGAAAGATAAACACATGCACATACAAAGAACACAAGGTTTACATGGTTCACCCCAAACTAAGGCTACGTCCACGACTATAGCAGTTTTCATTATGATAAAAAAAGGTTACAAAAGAACACAAAGATAGTTGTCTCCCCTCAACTATAAATACATCAAAAATTAGGGCTATAGGTCACAAGAGAAAGAATACCATAGATACCCTTACTCCACGGTCAAGTGGTTAGTGTTAAGTACTTATCATGATCCATACTACCCCAACACAAAATAAACTTCTCATTGAGTGAGCAATCTAGAACGGTAATATGGAGAAAGGAGTCAACATATGTGGAGGTTTCATAGTGCAGTGTAGGAAATTGTGCTTAGATCCTGGGGGAAAACATATATATTAAGAGAAGATGGTGACAGGTACAAAAAGTAACCCTATTGATCATATAGTTTAAACTCATGCAACCAATTAATAAATCTCCACAATTTCCCTACTGAAAAAGAGTATAGACAGAAATAAAAATCTCTCTAAGCAAACAACCCCACATAGCTGGAATAACTCTTGCTGCTCAATGTTTCGGAGCAGAGCTACCATTCTTCACATTTAGGCTTGTGTCAGCAGCACTCAAATGTTTTGTGGTTACCTTTCTTCCCTTTTATCGTAATCTGATTAAAAGGTCATGTATTGTTTTGACGTAAATTGATGTACAGTGATAAAGTATTTTCTTTTAAGGACTAAAACCATTAGATACTTGTCAACAACTCAATGCAATGAAGGTTTCCGAGTCAGATTAAAAACTAAGTGCAATGCAAACTCAAGGCATTTGAAGCGTTTTTTTTACTGCTTTTCTTAATCTGAGATCGGGTATTGTCATGGGACACAAAAATAAGATATTACACATCTAAACATTAAACATCGTCAAATGCATTGGTTTTCAGAAGATCTCACAAAAAGATAAAAGTATATTGTTTCAATATACCTAGGAAGAAATTCAGTAACAATTGAGAGATTTGGAGGACGAGTAACAGCTCCCATGAAAAGAACAACATTAGGGTGCCGGAGCCTTTTCATGATCCAGACCTGGCAAGCCAAACCACAAGTAATATAATGCGAATTCAATTCAACGCACTCAAATTAACCAATAGAAGGTAGCATCAATATACAAACTGCATTTTAGGCTTTGTTCAAAGGGCTTGTGAAGATGATATAAGTCACAAGACAGGGCTTGTACCTCACTTTTGAATTCTTCAAGGGATTCACCAGATATAGCTTGGTTTAGGAACTTCTTGACAGCAACTTCCTGAAAAATGATAGTGGCAATAAGTTTAAATTATTACCTTTTAAGAATGCGAAGTTGACATATTAACAAGTAAGGACTAATAAGAATACGAAAATATGGAGGAAAGAAAATAAAGAAAAATAATAGAAGTTGATGTATCAAAATTAGCATGAGAAAACTCACAGTTCCATGCCACTCTCCACGATATACCTCCCCGTATGATCCTGCAACATGAAGAATGCACCAAAGAATTAAGTCAAAAATGAAAATACCCAAAAATGTCATTATGAAACACATAAATTGACACAATATAGAGGACAGGTAAGTACCAAGCCCGATACGCTCACCCAAGGTGATATTTTCCCATGGGATCTCATAGTCTGCTACATCGTCAAGCAAAGCATCAGATTTTGTGCTGTCATTACCTGCTGATCTATCTGACATTCTCTCACCCTCCGGATTTGTACCCAAAGCATCATGCTTCTGGTCACCACTACCCCGTGGCTCATAAACTGCACCATCTGCATCACCACCACTTCTCATGCCGTCCACTTGATTAATGAGTGCAGCCGCGCCACTTGGCGAATGGCCACGTATCTCCAAGTTTTCACACTGCTTACTGACAGCTGCAGTTGTTGCCACTACAGCCGCAGCTGTAGCAGTGGCAGCGGCTGCAACGGGTAGTTCAAGGCTTGACTCAGTGCTTGTCTTTGCCGCGGCAACTACCATTGAAGATGCGACAACTGCTGCAGCAGCTGCTGCTGCGGCGGCAACAGGAACATTCTTTACATATTTTGGTGGAGTTACTTCACATTGTGATGAAACGGGTTGCCCAGTTACTTCTCTTAATTCTAGCTGATGCTCCAGTTGACCACGAGGACTGCCTTTAGAATGCACACCGTGATAAGGAAGAGGTGGCAAAAATCGAGGTTGATTAAGATCATCATGTCCTTTAGTTCTTTGCTTATCTTCAGTTGGGCACTTGGCCTCGACCATTGAGACATCTAACTGCTCCGAATAAATTTCAGTAAACAAGTTTGGAGGAGCAACAACACCACTTTCGAGTAACACATCGTGAAGTTTTTGAGCCAACTGAGGATTTTCTTTGGCAGCATCAATCATGTATCGAGACACATCTTTCACCTTCATTCTGCGTACAGCTGGGGAGCTAACACCTTCAGTCCAGGAAGGAGATCTTGCATGCACGTAAGGATAATTAGGCCTGCTGGGAACTTCCCAAGCCAGTTCCTTTAAATCAGAGGGATTTCTAGAATCATCTGACATCTTGGATACTTCGTCACCGTGAATAGGTCCAATTAAATTTGTAGAAGGAAGGTATTCACCTCTGTCATCAGATTCATTTCTTGCAGTACTAAGATTTCTAGACTCTGAATGTTCTTCAAATAAACTGAGAACCCCACCTCTACTAGAGGAAGCTATATGTGATGAGTCAACACCCCTAGAAAAAGGGCTAGTGGGAAAGAAAGATTCTTCATATTCTATATGTGATCCTGCTGCATCAGATGGAATAAGTGTGCCTGGGTCCGCCATTAGATCAACAATATATTCCCTGAAATACCCATTATCCATTGTTTAAAATAACAAATTAATGTTTTACAACTCCAAATAGAATAATATGTTTATTTAAGTGATACATCATTCACTACAAAGACCATTCAGTATCATTCCCTCAACAAAGATACATACAATCTGTTCATCGCTAGAGCCTGGAGATTCGTCTTTTAGAGATATCTTTACAAAATTCTTAAATCACTCTATTTCATTAATGGTCTTACTATAATATGGCGTATAAGCATTCTATATCCAGCAGGGAAAAAGAAGTTAAAGAGCCCATAGTTCAGAGGTATAATAAGTCATATCCTCTTATGCAAAAAATAGGAGACATAAGGTGACTTGCTAGCATCAGGAAAAGATAAAACAGTGATAACCTTCCATCATCCATCTTTACGAAGTTCATTGCTGCATCGTCAGAACCAGTATATTGCTTTCCTTTCACTAAGCGGCAAGGGATACCAACGCTATCAGCCAAGACCTACATTTCCATTCAAAATAAACAGCGGTTGGAAGGTGAAGCTCAAGTCTACAACCAACACCCCCAAAAGCAAAAAAGATAAAAGTGACAAAGATTGTCAGATACATCTTAAACAAAAGGCTCACCGACCAAGTTTTGTGAAATCATTCACTTGTCTATAAATAAAATCAATGGCTCACTAGTAACAAAGAAATGTCGGATACATCTTATGCATTAGATTTTAATTTTCTAAATACTTAACTACCTAAAACAAAATAAAGTACCTTGAACAACAGTGCACGGTGACGGGCCAATCCGATTGTCAATGAACCAAGAGGCAAAACCATGCTCCCAAGTGTTGCCTTCAAACTGTTACTTAGACTTTTCCATGCTTTCAACATGTTGTCTGGATCCCCAACTGGTCCCCCCATGTTATCAGAAACCAAAGCAGCAAGCTTTCTCACCAAATCACGGCCTAGAATATTTAGAAATTCCGACCTTGATTTGACAGCCATCTCCATTGCCTTCTGTTCAAGTTTTAACAGGTTCGCGTCAGCTGCCCTGTTGACCAAAATTGCTTCCCAGATGATGTCTGACACCGGTGGTCCTTGCAGATCAACAAGGGATGGCATTGTTGATGGAGTGGACTCCATCAAGATGCCATAAACGTCATAAAAACCATCCAAAACTTTGTCATCGTAGCCAAGAGCATTGTAATTCTGTGAAGCACGGATAAATCTATGATATGAGATAGGTTAGAAAGGAATAAACATATGACAAAATAACAATGTGAAAACAAACCCAAATATTGGAAGGATTCCACCACAATATATGATACTTAAAAATTGTCCAGGTTTTGGTTTTCGGTAACTATAATAAAAGGAAAGTGCCAGAAGGGGTGTAACCTATATATACAGGCATATACCAAAGCCAAAACAAAAGAAATCCAAAACTGCCTATATATCTACAGCGATGTGCAAATTCCCCAAAAATTCAACAAAAGAATATAAAGGAAAATGACAATCATCCCTAAGCCAAAAAACATGGATGTCAGCATTGCTCCTTTCAATGCACATGTGGAAACCTTCTTCCCCCTCAAAACATTTGCAGTTCCTCTCTCTCCATAAGTACCAGATAAGGCATAATGAAGCCACCTCTCAAGCCTTTCTATTTCCCATCCACATCATATTTTTATCTCAACTATCACAGGCATCAACCAGGCTATAACAAAACTAAAAATAACGAACTCCATAACTTCATGATCATTGTACAATGAAGAAAAGATGATTCACTAACTCTCCTGCACAATTGTACAAAACCAATCAAGCAAAAAATTTCTTTCTTTTTCAAATTATCAATGGTCAAGATAGCCTCCATTATTGTATCTTTGGGGAGCATTTGGGCACCACACTCCTCTCCAAGAAAAGCAGCTATCACCGTGCCTAAGAAGATTCTGGTAGAAAGAAGCCACCAGGAATCTACCATTCTGACCATAAACCCTAATAAGAGAATTATGTCAATATTCTCCCCAAACAGAGCATCCTGAGGGCATGCCAAGCAACTCTGCCATTAAATTCACATCCCAACCCTATTTATCCAAATAAATAAATAAATAAATTCACATCACAATCCTGGAAAACCCTCCTAAACTTTGGCACCCAACAACTACCCCCTAAGGAAATGATCAAAAGAATGGAAAGAATTATTTGGCTTACCAATTAATGAGGTAGAGGCCATATATATATAACATATTCATGATACAATTTAGGAAACAATATACACAAGGTAAGATTCCTACAATCAAAATAATTCCTATTCTAATTCCTATTTTAATTTCCATATTCAAACATAATATTTTGATTTCTATATTCAACACTCCCCCTCAAGCTGGCGTGAAGATATTCAACAAACGCAGCTTGTCAATGGAAGACTGGAGCAAAGTTGGTCCCACAGATTTTGTGAACATATCTGCCAACTGCTGAGAAGAAGAGACAAAGGATGGATGCACAATGCCAGTCCGAATCTTTTCTCGAATGAAACGTATGTCAACCTCGATATGCTTGGTACGCTCATGAAGTACAAAATCAAAGGATAACATAATGGCAAATTTGTTATCACAAAATAAAGAGGAAGGAACAGTCTCCTCACTGCTAGAATAAAGCAAATCCAAAGAATCTCACAAGTCCCATGTACCATAGCTTGATACTCAGCCTCTGCAGAAGATCTAGAAACCACTGCCTACTTCTTACTTTTCCATGAGATAAGATCATCACTGTAGAAAGTACAGAAGCCAGAAGTGGAACGCCTATCAGTCCTAAATGATGTATAGTCTGCATCGATGAAACAGGAGACCCCAGATTGGAGACTAGCGGAAAAGAATAATCCAAAACCAGGAGAAGTCTTCAAATACCTCAAAATATAATGAACCACGTCAAGGTGCTCTTTACGAGGTGTATGCATGAACTGACTCACAACACTAACTGCAAATGTCAAGTCAAGTCTAGTGTTAGTCAAATAAATGAGGCTTCCAACAATACGCTAATACATGCCTAGGTCATCTAGCAACTCACCAGACTCTGATGTGAGTTTGACATTAGGATCCATAGGAGTAGAAGCAGGTTCACACCCTAACATATCAATATTTTGAAGCAAGTCAAGGGTGTACTTTCTTTGAGAAAAGGAGATCCCCTCCCTTGAGCGAGTCACCTCAATTCTCAAAAAATATTTAAGACATCCCAGATCCTTAATATCAAAAGTTTGGCCCATGTACTTCTTTACTTGACCAATGCCAACAGAGTCATCACCTGTGAGAATATTATCATCCACATAAACTAATAAGACCATATGCTGACCTCCAGAATCTGGCGAATGAAACAAGTGTGATCAAAGTGGCACTGAGCAAAGCCCATAGGTATAATAACAGAACTGAAGCGACCAAACCATGCTCGTGGAGACTGTTTCAGACCATACAAGGATTTGCGTAACTGGCACACTTTTCCTGAACACTCTCCCTCAGTCCAAAAACCGAGTGGAGGAGCCATGTAAATCGTCTTAAGGAGATCTCCATGGAGAAATGCATTCTTGACATCAAGCTGATGAAGAGGCCAAGAATGAGATGCTGCAAGAGAGATAAAGAGATGTACAAAAGTAAGCTTGGCGATAGGGGCAAAAGTGGCACCAAAATCCTTACCAAGAATTTGTGTGAAATCTTTGGCCACCAAACGGGTTTTGTAACTGTCAAGTGAGCCATCAGCAAGGTATTTTATAATGAACACCCATTTGCAACCAATTGTGCTTTCCCCAGGAGGTAAAGGTACAAGATCCCAAGTGTGATTCTGTTCTAAGGCCGCCATAGCCTCTACCCATTTGGGATTCTGAAATGCCTCAGACACAAAACAAGGAGTGGACTTCAACTCAAGCTTACCAAGAAAAGAACGGTAAGAAGGGGAAACCCTGTCATAGGAAAGATACTGGAAAATAGGATGATTAGTACTACTCAAATAACTCAAACGATTTGGAGGATGTCGATCCTGATGTGGGTTACGATGAGGAGGTGGAGGAGGAGCTAAAGGAAAAGAGTTACTAGACCCAGAGATTGGAGAGGCGGCAGGGGGGACTAAGTGCATGGGCGACGGGAGTATACTTGCAATGGGGGAAGAGGCGAAGGTTGAGAAGGAGGAAACGGGACAACCTCACTCTCAACCTCATCCAAAATGGTCACCGGACGAACAGTGGAAGTAACAGAAAGAGAAGCCTGCAAAGAAGGGTTAGTACCAAAGAAAGGAAGATCCTCACAAAACATAACGTCAAAGTGTGGTGAAAGTGACGAGACACAGGATCATAACACCAATACCCTTTGGACATGGAAGAGTACCCTAAGAAGATACAACGAATAGATTTGTCATCTAACTTTGTACGAGTAGGACTCTAATTTTGAACAAAACAGGTACACCCAAAGACACGGAGTAAGAGTGGAAACAGAGTGATGGTAGACATAAGGGTATGAAACGGAGTGAGTCCATGCAACACACAACTAGAGATCCTATTAATGAGGTAAACAGCAGTAAGGACAACTATATGCCAATAAGACTTGGGCACACCCATACCCCGAAGAAGGCACCAGACAACAAATATAATACGATGGTTTTTGCATTCAGCAACACCATATTGTTCAGGTGTCTGAGGACAAGTAAGTTGTTGAAGAATATCGGTTTCATTAAGATGAGAACGAAATGCATTAAAAATATATTTCCCACCATTATCAAAACGAATAGTCCTAACAGCTGTATGAAATTGAGTTTTAACCATCTATAAAAATTGGACAAAAATGGGAAAGACATCAGACTTACGACAATTTAGATAAATCCAAGCGCACCTAGTGTGATCATCAATAAAAGTCACATAATATCTATGGCCAGAAAAAGCAATGACAAGGGAAAGACCCTAGACATCAGAATATATAAAATCAAAAGTACTAGGAGCACAAGTCATATGAGGGATATAGCTAGTACACGTATGCTTAGACAACTCACAAACTACACAATGAAACTTAAAATCTTTCCAAGCTTTATTAAATGAAGGAAAAAGTTGACATAAATACTAAAAATTAACATAACCCATACGAGCATGCCATAATTCTAAAATTTGAATATAAAAAACACAAGACATGGAAATAGGCAAAACAGAGGCCTGAAAACTAGCTAAAGAAGAAAAGGAAGGTTGGTCCAGTGGATCCCCAAAGTAGTACAAGCCATCATGCTCATAGCCCTTGCCAAAAATCCTCTTTGAACTCAGGTCTTGTAAAATGCAAGAGGAATAGCGGAATACACTAGAGCCACAGTGCGAGAGGTGCCAGCACCACGAGGGCGAGAAGAACATTGCCTCAACTTAGGATAAAGTTTGAAGCAACGAGCCTTAACATGACCAGAAACGCCACAATGATGACAAGTAACTGGACCAGTAGAACCCTGAGAACCAGACTTCGCAGCAAGAGCCATCTAATTAGATAAAACTGGAGACAGAAAAGAAGGATTCGGCTGAACCAGATGCCTACGACGCTCATCACTATCAATAGTGACAAAGGCCTCATAGAGAGAGGGCATAGGTGATATGTTTAAAATCTGAGTTCGAAGGGATTCAAACTCAGAGTTTAAACCCATTAGAAACTACTACGTATGCTGGCGAGCAAGGCATTTGGACACAAGAGAGGTAGCATCTGCTGGTAACTCGGTCAAGGGCTCATATTAAGCCAATTCTTCCCAACGGGCCTAAAGATATCCAAAGAATTCTGACACAGAAAGACCCAAGCCAGACTGGGAAGCATGAGCAATATCTTGATAGAGCTCAAAGATGCGAGCATCGTTATGAGCATGAGCATACATCTGTGATAAGGCATGCCATAGATCGGAAATTGTGTCGCAATAGAGAAACATGTGATAAATACGATCTTCCATAGAGTTGAACATCCATCCCAAAATAGTATAGTTATCAATATCCCACTGTGCACAGGTAGGATCTGTTGCAGCAGGCTGGGTAGTGGAAGATAAACGTCAACGAGCTTTTTCCTTGCCCCCTAAATAGAGTTTAAAGGAGCGGCTCCAAGCGCTAAAATTTTTCCCATTCAACACCACACTCGTAATATGATAAACAGGAGTGTGATGAGAAAGAGAAAAATCAAAACTAATTGGGCCAGGCTTGGTGGGTATATCAACAAAGGATGGATCAGTCATGGTGGGAGAAGAGGGGCTGAAAAACACACAAAGATAGCAACACAGCCCAAGAAAAAATAAGAAGTCAGAAAAAACTCAACGGTTTATCCAAATAGATGCTACTGAATAAACCCGGTAGCCCAAAAGAATAAAAGGACAAACAAAGGAGCTTAATACATCAGTCCAATCACCGCAACAAAGGGAAAAAAACAGCCACGGACCACCTAAAGAGGCAGTCGAAGCACGTAAGAGTAGAACCAAGTCTGGTCGACAGTAACTAGAGCCTCAGCAGGGATAAAGAAGGCCTGCCGAGGTGAAGACAAGGAAGGAGGGGGGCTACGAAAGTTGGATTGAGGCTGGGCTGAGGCTGTTAGAGGCTAGAGAGAAGAAAAAAGGCAGACGGTGGTGATCGGTGGCTGAGAGAGAGACGGCTAGGGAGGCTCTGAAACCAAAAAGAATGGAAAGAGTTATTTGGCTTACCAATTAATAAGGTAGAGACCATGTATATATAATATTCATGATACAATTTAGGAAACAATATACACAAAGTAAGATTACTACAATCAAAATAATTCCTATTCTAATTTCATATTCAAACATAATATTTTGATTTTTATATTCAACATGACCAACCAATTGTACAGCCAAAATCTTACTTGATGATGTCGCCACCTTAATAGAGGTGAGCTTATGGACTTCATCTCACAACTTCACAATGCTCTTCTATACTCCTACTCCATGAGACCTTCAAGTAGGCCTACAATCCACTTCCCCTATCGCCCAGACTTCCTCACCACCACCCTTGTCCACAAACCTTCCTTCTCAAGGAGAAACCTCTACAAAACAAACATTTGCCTAGATGGGCCTAATTAAACAAAACCAAGTCCCTAATGCGCAACACACCTCCTTTAACACATGCACAACTTTTCAATCATCAAGATGATATTTGTGCTCTCCCCTAACCCTCCCAAAAGAAAGTCCCTCATTAGTTCTCCAACCTATCAACCACCAACTTGGAAACAGTAAACAATGACATAAAATAATTAGTCATGTTGAATAACGTGCTCTGAACGAAAGTCACTTGGGCATCCTTAGATAAATAGTCTTTTCCATATCACCAACCTCTTCTAAAACCTTCCACAAAAAATTCCCAACCACCTTGGTTATTATTTTTTTTTGATAACTGGTAGTCTGGGCCGACTTACGGGCACTTCGACTAATTTCGGAATCTACGCAAAGTGCCCTCTTCACATAGATCGGGTAAATCTCGAGCAGAGTCCGCAAACGTGGCCCCAAGTTGTTGATAACATTTAGTGAGAGTTGAACTTGAGACCTGAAGGGAGCACACCCCCAAGCCCTAAGTTGCACCTACTAAACCATCCCCTTGGGGTTCCCAACCCACCTTGGCTTTAAATGAATTCCCAAGCATCAAACCCAGATAAGAAGAAGATAAAGGAGCTGAATTGATTTCAAGGCCCACCAGATAATCCGAGTCTTAGCCAGGTTAATCCTAAGTAGCCTCAAAGCAAAGCAAAATACACCTCACGAAATTCCCCCACTTTCAATCAAACCATTCTTGAAAAATGTGCCTCCAACACCTATTCTGGTTTGTTCCACTCACTAATCCAGCCAACCAGGCATCTACCAAGGAGGCCACCTTGAAAACGAACTCAGCTCCACCTCAACATACACACCGTTAGAGCTTTGTGGGATGTTCAATTACTAACAAGAAGCAACATATGGAATACACATCTAGATGCAAAACCTGTTCCCAGTTTTGTGACCATAGTTTATCATAGGACTCTCCTAACAGCTGCATATTACAGTTTCAGTCAATATATAATTTGGCAGTTTGCACATCTCCTTAATGCTAGTGTTCCATACATTGTGGACATTGCAAATATAAGTAAATCTTTTGCTACCCCCGCCTGCTAGCAGGAAGAAGTGATACATAGTTGTGGGGGCCGAATACATGAAAAAATCAGATGGTGCGTATCATTGGAAGACTGATATTAACCGGTTATATCCTACGAGAGTGGGGAGCCGAATATAATATATGTGCCGAATAAGTGTAAGTCATTAGGGCCGAATAAAAGAAAGGGCAATGATTAAAAAGTAGGCCCTGGCCCCGAGGATCAAAAAGAACAGGTATAAATACAGGAACAATGGTTGTAGAAAGGTATGTAAGAATCACTTCACAAAACTTAGTAAAGAAGCTATCCTGAGTGTCTGAACTAACTTGTCCGTCGGAGTGCTAATTCCGGCACCCCCGACCGGAGTGTTTGTATCTTTTCAAGTGACTAGATGAGGATCACTAGTGTCTCCCAAGATCCGAAGAGTATTTCCAAACCACTTCTCCACAATAGTAGTTCGGATTTTATTGTACTATCAAATATGGCATTATCTGCAAAAATCAGATGCATTTACTTTTTCGTAGTTGGTAAGATTTCCCATACCTGAGGGCCACCGACTTATTTTATTTATGCAACTCTATGTCTTGATTGCTATTACTACCATAACATAACTGAGCCCAAAAAAAGAAAAAGAAAAAAGCACAAGCATAACTCAAGCTTCACATTGGAAGTCATTTATGTGCTTAAAAAATGACCATCCAGTTTACTGACCTTATAACAACGCTTGGATTTTGAAAATTGAAGCAGTGGATTAAATTGAAGTTAATTAACGCATCATAATACACCTCTAGAAAGAAAGAACAAATGAACATCTTCTCCCATTATTTGCCAAGAGGCAACCATATTGATTTCATCTGGTGACATTGAAGTTGACTCAACACCACAATTAATTTAAGCACATAGTCAAGAGGAACATGTCATCTAATCCATCATGATTTTTCGAGCATCAAACAAATGGCATCAAGTCAACTACATTGAACCAATGAGAAAGAAAGCTTGAAAACAAACTTACCCAGTATCGATATGCAACAACTTCTGCCGGAGTATTCTCAGATGGACAGGAGCCCAAACTAATCTGCTTAACAGCTTCAATCTGAACTGCTTCAGGATCCTCCCTTGCACTCAACTCCAAAGCCAATTGTATTTGATACTCCTCCTCAATATCAGGATCCCTCGAATTGCTAGAACCCGAATCACGCATTGTGGCTTCCAAAGCAGCATCTAATCCACCACTGCTAACTGAATCAGACGGTTCCAATCGCTCCGCTCTCACAACATTCAAAGACGATGAAGGACTAGGACTGTTTCTATTTGTCACTGAATTCAACCATCCTGAAAGACCTGAAAACGCTTTATTCTCGGAATTGTGATGGGACCGAGACTGGGAAAACCTCTCAGGTGATGACCCATCATTCAATCTATTATTGCCCTTTGATGAAGCAGACCCCCCTTCTGAATCTTCAGATTGATTGGACCCAATATGGAGTTTCTTTAAAAGGTTCTTCATAATCTTTCCACAAAGCTAAAAGTATTCAATGCTAAAGGAGAAAAAATCTGGCCATAAACCTCTCCATTGTCTTGGACCAAGCATGAAATCTCAATCACAAATCTCTACAGCAAGTGCAAAGTTGAAATCCCAAAAAAAACACTTTGGTCAACAGCTCTTCCACCCCCACAAAAGACTCCAAAAACACAACCCATCAAATCCAAGAACAACCACACCTATTTCGAGCAATACCCAGTACAGGTTGCTTATATATAACACTACCCAGATGCCCAAATTGCAAGAAAACACCCTTCTTTTTCACAGAAGATCAAAGACCCAATCTTGAAGATAATACAAAAACAAAAAATTCCAACGAGGAACACAAAAATATATAATACAAACTTTGACAACAACAACAACAACAAAACAGATTGCGTTTCTACTACCACTGTAAATTAACAACAACAAGAACAAGAAGAAATCAATTCAAAAAGTAAAAAGAACTGAATACATGGGATTGCGTGAAGAGAGAGAGAATTGATATTTGTATCGAGGTGGGGAAGAATGACAGCATTAAATTAGAAAAGAGAGAGAGGGAGTCGGAAAAGAAGAAGGGTAGAGACAGAGAAGCACCAGCAAGTGGGAGAGAGTAGGACCTCAACAAAGATGACCCACTTGGGTTTTGAGGCATGGCCGCACAAGGATTTCACGGTCCCAGAAAAAGGTTAAATTGGTGGGAAAAACATAACCAACTCGTTCTCTCTCTCTCTCTCTCTCTTGCTGGCTGGCTCATGCGCCCTTTCTTTCTCTCTCCAACTGGCACTTTCTCTCTCTAAACACCATTCTCCAACTCGTGGACTGGCAGTCACAAACTCCAAGATGTGGCCCTGAGTTGGAAATTTGTGGTTAAATATTCTTTAATAATGAAATATATATTAGGGAAACTATGGGTTGATTTGTGAAATTGATTATAAGTCAACTTCAAATTTTTAATTTATTTTAGAACATATTATTTTTTTATATTTTTTACTTATTAAAAGATTAAAAAATTTTAAAAATTAAAAAGTTAATTTTTTATTAATTTCTCAAAACATCCCTGAGTATTGAAAAAAAAAATATATATATATATAAGAGTGTAGGTATGTCTGTAGTGAGGTGCAAATGAAAGAATGTAAGGGTGTAAGTGTCACTTGTATCCCTTTATATATTAATAATTTTTTTTCTAACTTTCACCGGCAGTTCCCTTTAAAGGTAAATTATAATTTGTCTGTCTTATGCTTAGTTATATTTTACTCTTTTTTTTTTATCAAATGTTCGGCCTATTTATGTGTATCTCGACTAATTTCGAGAGCGTGACCCCAAAGAATTGATAACAACTAATAAGAAGTGAACTTGAGACCCGGAAGAAGGACATCCCAGACTCTAAACTACACCGATGAGGTCAACTCCTTAGAAATTTTTGACCTTGTCTTTAAATTTTTTTGTTCTCATTTTAGTCTTTTATGTATTAATTTTTTCTTAATTTACTCTAAAAATTAATTTATATTCAAAATTAAATATCACACTTCTTAACAAATCTAAATCTTAATAAATATATTTTTTATATTGACAATTAATAAATATATTTTTTATATTGACAATTAACCTAATATTTTATGTTTAATTTTGAACATAAATTAATTTTAGATGTAAATTGAGACAATAATTAAACATAAAATGAAAAAATATAATTTATTCTAAAATAAAATAGGAAAATTATATGTAAGTGGGAGAAGAAAAAAAAGAGTAATGCTAGGGACACTAAATTTTCTACCAAACAAATGACCAAATGTCTCACATGAGTGTGGGGTCCACAATTTTATGGGCTCCATGTGAGATATTTGATTATTTATTTAGTAAAAAATTTAAAATCTCTAACATTTTTCGAAAAAAAATAACCATAAGAGGTGCAAGTGACAATTGAACTCCACCTCTTTTTATTTACACCTCTTTACACTGCTACGTGTCCCATCTGCATGTAGTTTCCAATAAAATAAGCAATTTTAAGATGATTCTGTATTTCCAGCTTAACTTTTGCTACTTTCAGAGATGAATATTATTTTGTCGTATACGATTTGTGATGTCTTTTTCACTAAAAGACAAAATTCATGTGATTGGGAAGTAGTAAAGTCTTGAAATCAACCAATGGCAATCAACGGTGGCTTTTGCTTTGTGTTTTTAATGCACGCAATGGTGTGATTGGAGAATTTTAATATGCACACCACATGTTTTACTTTCTCCAAATTCATTTTTGAGAATAAAAAATATTTACGCTTTTTAGTAACATTTTATTGTCCTATATAGAAAGGGTGAAGTATTCAGAGATATTTGTGAAAGAATAAATTTAAAAGTAATATTACAAATTCATCTTTACCAATTTAAAAATTAATCTTCTTTTTTTGGTAAATATGGATAGTTATAAATATATAAATAACTGAATTAGTACAAAATAGTTCTGGGATATAGAATTCTCATAGCATCATACAAAACCGTCTGCGATACAAAGGTAGATGGAGGATAGGGGAAGACATGAAAATTCACATCCATCATAAGCATCCCATAAGTTGCTAGGGCATCCATTCTTTTATTTGCTTTCCTAAAAGTGTGTTTAACAATTGGCGATCTGAGGCTGTCCTGGAGGAACCTGCAGTCATGAACAATATTACTAAGATGGTATTGATCATTACAAATGTTTAGTATCATGTGTACATGAGAGCATCACATTCGACTTCAATTGATGTGAGGTCAATTTGAGACCATCTCTAAGGACCCATAATTTAGCGGTTAGATTGTTGGTTTTGCCGAGAAATTTGCAGAAATTCGAGACCCAATTGCCATGATGGATGGGAATTAATTTTCGCCACATTTTATATGGATCTCACGCTATATAAATTAATTTCACCACACAATACTCAATCAAAAAATTCTGAGTAGATAAGTCTAGATTACCAAACTTTCCTTATATTTAAATTAAATGAATGTTAGATAAATTATATTACAATTAATGATAATCAATTTTTCAAAATTTAATACAATATAATAAAACCGTTTTTAATTCTCAATATGATTCTTTTAATTATCTTGACTTTAAACAAGGATATATGATTCTTTTATTTATCTTGACTTTAAACAAGGATATATAAATAGTAATTAATACAGCAAATACAAGTGGTTAAAAACCTCGCATTATGACTTATTTGATAATAATTAAAAATTAAAATATTAATTCAATTTTTTTTTTAATATTAACAATGTTAGAACACAAAATGATTCACAAAAAACACAATAAAATATAGGGGTTAAATTCAGTTGTAGAACGGTCTACTTTAAGAATAAATGAGTCATCACCCGTGTGAGGCACAAAAATTTATTTTTAAAATGAAAAATTAATTTTAAGTCTTAATATTTTATGTGTAAAAGATTTTAACAATTGAAAGTCAAATATAAACAGATTTGCTAATGGCTCATAAAAAATTTTCTCACGAAGTGTAATTCTATATAAAATGATCATAAAAATAATTCATTTCAAAGTTTTTTTTAAAAAAAAAATGTATTCTCAACCTGAAATCAAATTTTTATTTATATTAATCAAATTTATCAAAAATTATAAATTCCACTTGTATCAAAATATTTTTTTTGAAAAAAATAAAAATAACAAAAAATTATATAATATAGAAACTATGACTTGGTTAAAATTTATTGTGAATTATATTGTGATATGTTTTACAAAAAATAACATTAATTTTAATTTTAATGATTTAATAATTTTAGTTTTATCGTTCTATAAAAGTGTTATACTTATATATAATAAATTTAGTTAAATTATTTATTTATTTTGATAATTCAGCTTTATTGTGTTATAAAAATGTAATTATCATATAATGATTTTATATGATATATATTAGATTATAAGATAGTAAAATAAACTATCATTTTGATATTAAAAATAATAGTTAAATTAGAAAGAGAATTAGTAATATAAAACTAAAATTGATTCTAATTATTTTATTTTTATATTTGTTTGAAAAATATGTTGTGATTGGATTAACAAGAAAATACATAAATTAATTATGTAGAGTATTAATTTTTTCTTCAATATTCTTTTTGAATTATTCATACATATTGTATATAGGTATATAAAATTTAAATTAAATGTAAATATTTTGTAATAAATAATTTCATGTCAAATAAAAATGAAATATAAAATAATATTAAGACATCAATAAGATATACAAAAAATAAAAATAATAAAAATAATAATAATTTGATCAATGTGATGCGCATAATTAAGTACATTTATTGTGCTATAAAAATGTAATTATCATATAATGATTTTATATAATATATATTAAATTATAAGATAGTAAAACAAACACTCATTTTGATATTAAAAATAACAGTTAAATTAGAAACAGAATTAGTAATATAAAACTAAAAGTGATTATAATTATTTAATTTTATTTTTATTTTTATATTTATTTGGAAGTAGCCACAATACTTGAACCCATAACCTTAAGGTTAGGTGCGTACTCAATTTTCTCCTCCCAAATACACACAATGTGTACTAATTGGGCGTTGTTTTTATTCTTTTTGAATTATTCATACATATTGTATATAGGTGTATAAAATTTAAATTAAATATAAATTAATATTAAGACATCAATAAGATAGACAAAATATATATATATATATATATATAAAAGAAAATTAATATATTATTATATGATAATTACACTTTTATAATACGATATAATTAAAATTATCAAAATACACAAATAATTTAACTAAAATTAATATATGTATATATATATAAGTATTCAAGTAATAATTTTATAAAACGATAGCGTCAATATTATCAAAATAAATAATCAAAATCATAGTTTAATTTTAATTTTAATTTTAATTTTAATTTTAATTTTAATTTTAATTTTAATTTTAATTTTAATTTTAATTTTAATTTTAATTTTAATTTTAATTTTAATTTTAATTTTAATTTTAATTTTAATTTTAATTTTAATTTTAATTTTAATTTTAATTTTAATTTTAATTTTAATTTTAATTTTAATTTTAATTTTAATTTTAATTTTAATTTTAATTTTAATTTTAATTTTAATTTTAATTTTAATTTTAATTTTAATTTTAATTTTAATTTTAATTTTAATTTTAATTTTAATTTTAATTTTAATTTTAATTTTAATTTTAATTTTAATTTTAATTTTAATTTTAATTTTAATTTTAATTTTAATTTTAATTTTAATTTTAATTTTAATTTTAATTTTAATTTTAATTTTAATTTTAATTTTAATTTTAATTTTAATTTTAATTTTAATTTTAATTTTAATTTTAATTTTAATTTTAATTTTAATTTTAATTTTAATTTTAATTTTAATTTTAATTTTAATTTTAATTTTAATTTTAATTTTAATTTTAATTTTAATTTTAATTTTAATTTTAATTTTAATTTTAATTTTAATTTTAATTTTAATTTTAATTTTAATTTTAATTTTAATTTTAATTTTAATTTTAATTTTAATTTTAATTTTAATTTTAATTTTAATTTTAATTTTAATTTTAATTTTAATTTTAATTTTAATTTTAATTTTAATTTTAATTTTAATTTTAATTTTAATTTTAATTTTAATTTTAATTTTAATTTTAATTTTAATTTTAATTTTAATTTTAATTTTAATTTTAATTTTAATTTTAATTTTAATTTTAATTTTAATTTTAATTTTAATTTTAATTTTAATTTTAATTTTAATTTTAATTTTAATTTTAATTTTAATTTTAATTTTAATTTTAATTTTAATTTTAATT